CAGGCGCCCCCCTCCTTTAGATTTCAACATATCGCTTCCCCCAAGGGGTCTCCACGGGGTCTCCCCAGTCACTCTCCTTTGGCTGGGTTAGGGGTCCTTGTCAGCTCCCCAGGCCTCTCGTTCCCCGTTATGGTCCAGCCTCATTTCTTCATGTCCTAATTCCTGTCTCCCGCTGGACTAGTTCACAGCCGTATGCCCGGTGCCTGCATTTCAGTAAGCATTCAATACATGTATGTTGAAGGAACAAATCAAGCGAAGGAATCCTAGGCACAGTTCTGAAGAGACGTCCTTCAATTGTTCATTTATTCAAGCAGTCACTTATGAACCAGTACTTCTGGGGGGCCCCCTAGTTGGTGAGGTCCTGGACAGACAGCTGTGAGCAAGACCAAAAAGTCCCTGCCCCGTGGAGCTGGGGACTGTGCTGGCAGGGGGAGGAATGTGGACTCTTCCGGCCCTTCCGTTCACCGCTGGGCCACCCGGGCCAGTCAGGTGACCACTCTGGAAGTGCTCACGGTGAAATGAGGGAGTTGGCCTCCATCGGGCACAGACAGTCTGGTTCCCAGAGCGGCCTCCTCCGGCCGCCCATCCCTCTTAGGTATAAACTCAACATTCCTCATCCTGGGCTATTTTGCCATTTCCTTTCGTGCTAAACCAAACGGTCTATTTTGGAAACTCCTATAAGCAAACAAAGCCCTGCCTGGCATTTGAGCGGATATAAAAGAGCCCTAAGTGAGGGACTCAGGCATAAAAGCCACCCAGCCCTGAGAGCCCACGCTGTTAAATTTAGAAGCATCACCTCCAAATGAGGTGAAATTGTAGGTTCCCTGGGCTGGCGGGCAGCGCTGGCCAGCGGTGAGCTGGACGGATTTAGCGGGGTGGGCTCGGGCTCCCTCCGGCCGCGCCTCGGGGGCGGAGGCCCAGGAGGACGGGGCCAGTGTCTGGGGAGCAGCTGACTGGGTGAGAAGCCCCTCCAGCTGTCGTGCCCCGGCCGCACTCACCAGCTGGGTCCGAGCCATCCGCCTAAGTGAGCGCTGCTCGGGGTTCCTGGCCAGAGAGAGGCAGCGAGGGACGTGCGGGGAAGAAGCAGTCCTGTCTGCCACCAAAGGTTTGGGACCTGCATGACTTCTGTGCCTCTCTCCTCTGCCCAGGGGCCCGGCGAGGTCTCTGGCTTGTCTCTCAGGCCCTGCAGAGGGCCAGCTGTCTGGAGCTGGCCTGAGCCTCCTGAGTGTCCCTCCCCGGGGACTTCCCAGACCTGCCCACAATCTCGTGGCGAAAGGGCGAATGCCGGCCACCGTGGGGGAGGGGGAGGAGTGGGGTCTCCAAGGTGCCCGGTCTCTGTTCTGAGTGGTCGGTGCCCCACTGAATCCCTGATTCAACATCAGGAATGTGAGCCTTGGTCAGAAGTGACCAACATTCATGGGGGCTTGTCAGGAGCTACCCGCCGAAGGCTCCTGAGATTCCAGGGGTCTCAGCCTGGCCATCGCATCCCCGGTCCACAAGAAGGGAGATCCTTTTGCAGTAAGAAACCCAACTGGGTGACATTGCAGAGGTCAACTGGTCAACCACCAGGATTAGCCCCATCAGAGCCTTGGGAGAGGGCCGCCGGCCCCACTTTTGGAGCAGCTGAGCTGACTGGGAGCTGATGCTGGTCCCAAGAGGCCCACGGGGACTTGGGCTCCCACACCCTGAAGCCCGCAGGGGATGGGGCTCGATGTTTCTTGACCACCCCCAGCTCACTGCTGGCTATGTTTCTAGCTTGGCAGGTCCCTTTCATGACCTGCTTCCATTCTGGGGCCCCCTTCTCTCCCCTTCAGCGTGGGTCTAGCTCAGGGGTGGGAGCATGTCCTCAGCTCAGCCCCTGGGGGGCAGGTGTAGCCTAGCATGAAGCGGCCAGGCTTTTCAGGCCTGGGTCATGCTCAGGTCTAAATCCCAGCGCTGGCATGTCCTACCTGTGTGACCTTGGATGAGTCCTTTCCTCTCCTCTCTGAGCCTCGATTTCTTTATCTGTAAAATGGGGACATGAAGGGTACTTACTTCATATCATCTTGGGAGAATTTAATGAGATCTGACGCCCTTAGAGCAGATAGCAGGCAGAGTGCTGGCCCCCCAGGGGTCATTCAGCGAGAGCTGCAGCTCTTGTAAGTACCGTTGCATGAGAACGTAGCCATGTTGATCATTTACGTAACGTCTGTGGCTACTTTTGCTCTAGAACAAGAGAGCTGAGTAGTTGTGGCAAAGAGTATATGGCCTGCAAAGCCAAAAACTTTAGTATCTGGTCCTTTACAGAAAATGTTTGTCAGCCCTTGCCTTGGAGTCTGTCTAGCACTCAGTGGAAATTCTTATCCTTATCCTTCTGCTGATCTGGCACCAGGGGGGCGCAGCCTGGTACAGGGGGGCCAGCGGCCCCAGCCTGTCAGGCCTTGTTCTCTGGGCCCACGAGGTTGTGCTGTGAATCTTCCAGGCACCAGGGAACACTCCAGCCCCGCCGGCAAGTTGCTCTCTGTCTAGTGGGGGAGACAGGGAAGTCACCATTCACAGCCCACTGTAGCTAGTGGAGCAGGGAGGGTTGGGGAAGGGCTTTCCAGCCCCCCAGCCCCTGGGCTGGTGCCAGAGTGTTCGCCCCAACCAGTGACCTTGGTGATCTCCCTCCCTGCTCTCCCCCTCATTCCCTTGCCCTGCTTGGCTGGGGGGCTCTCAAGAATTTGAGAAGGTCCCCAGTGCCACCCTGAGCTCGTACTGATAGTCGTGGGGCAACGGTATGCTGATAAATGTTTAACAACCTGCAGGGGGGGAACCCCAAAAACCAAATCTGTAGCACCTGCCAACAGCCAGGGTGCAAATATTCCTACCGCGGCTGATTTCAAGCTACCAGTGGACGCTTGTGAGCTGGCCCAGGCTGACAGCAGCCCAGCCCAGGTGGGGGCAGTGGGGACCTCCTTGTGGGGCTGGGGCATCTCCTAGAGGGGGGACGCCTGACCGCGCACAGGAAGGAGCGGTGGCATCCACAAGCCGTCACATTCAGCTTCCAAATGTGTCTCTGCCGCTTCCACGCTGGCTTCCTGGGCCAGTCTCGTCCCCTCTCTGGGCCTCAGTTCCTCGTCTGTCAGCGTAGGTCAGCAACAGCTCCTACACCTCAGGGGTTGTGGAGATTTAATAAGATAGTTTCCATAAGGCATTTCGCGCAGGGTCGGCCTCACAACGAGCACTGGGTAGATAACGGCTCCCAACAGGGCTGGTGTTCACAGACCCGCAAACAGCATGTGACGGTCCCGGGCGCTGGGGCTTGCCACACAGTGGGTGCTCAGCAAACGCTCGCCAGCTTGCCCGCCCCGCCAGGGCTGGAGGGCGCTCACCGGGCTCATCTGCGTCTGTGGTCACCTCCAGGGCTGCAGCCCCGGTCAGCCAACCGCACTGAGACAACCAACTCTTCCCGAGTGTCCCCTTCGCATTGCGTGCCCTCCGCACCTTGTCTCCCGGGTCCTTTTCCGACTTCCCGCTCTGCAGCTGTGACCACTGAGGCCCAGAGCCAGTGAGTGGCACACAGCCGGGATTTGAGCTCGGGTCTGGGTTTCTGTTTGTTTGTTTGTTTGTTTCCAGCGCTCGCCTATGTACAGCACACACGGGGTGGGTGGGAGGACCTATGCGGGGAGGAGGAGGCCCGTGGGGGCCGCAAAGATCTGCCAGGGGGGCTTTGGGGCCTATGGCAGGGGCTGACCACATGCAAAACGCAGGACGGGACACTGGACAGATGTGGCTCGAAAGAGAACGTGATTCCAGGGGGAGAGGCCCCAGTATGAGCAAAGGCCTGGCCGCTGGACTCAGCTGGCCGGGGAAGGGATGTTGGGATGCAGGTCGAGGGAGGTGGTGCCTGGAGCTTGTTTATAGGTGTAGCTTGGGCCGTAGGGTCCCCGGAATCCTTGGACTGACTCCACACTGGCTGAGGAGCAGGGTATGAAACTGTAGCTGCAGAGATTTAGGTTAGATACGGAGAATTTCCGCTCACTGGGTGCTGGAAGACGCTGGGCAACATTCCCAAGGGAACCTAGAGGTGGCTTGGAAAAAAGACAAGACAGCCAGGGTTCTAGGCTGGCCTCACTGCTGCCTGGGCCAGAGACGGGGCAATGGAGCCGGGGATTCTGGAGGCCTGGGATGCCTGCAGCCTGGCCCCCTGTGAGCTGGGCTTTGTCAACCCCCCCTCTCGTGGCTCCCAATCACCCTGGCCCAATTGCAAGGCCAAACCGTTCCCTGGGGTTACCAGGGCCTCCCCATGACCTGCACTCTGCTGGCCTCTCCAGCCTCGCCTGGAGTCACGCCCCAACCCACTGTACTGCTTTGCTTCTGGAAGACACCATGTCCTCTGCACCCCCAGGCCTTTGCCCATGCCGTTCCCTCTGCCTCAGATACCCTGCCCTCCCCTCCCCTTCGTCTCAGTCTTTCCTTCTCAGTACTTGGTCCCTTCCTCCACGGCGAGGTCAGGTACCCCCTGGGCTCCCCTGTCACTTTGCTAGAGACTTCCTACTCTAACTGGTAGCTCATCAGCCTCCCTGCCAGACTGGGAGCCCTGGGGGTAAGGGCTTTGCCTGTGTTGCTCAGTGCCTGTCTCCAGCACTGTGTTCGGCACATAGCACTCAGTGGGGGTTGGGGGCAGGGGGTGAGGGTTACCGGCAGAAAGGAGTAGTAGCTGAGAGGGCGGCAGGTTTCAGGAGGAGCAGACTCCCCCCTGCTGGACAGCTCAGTATTGCTCAGGCATTAAGGACCTGAGCGCAGAGTAGAGAGACCTGGGTTCGAATCTCGCTCCTCCCACTGGCCCCAGGCAGGTTCCCTGACCTCACTGAGCCTCAGTTCTCTCCTCCGTCAGCCGGGGACAGGACCAGCCGCCCCCTCTCTGCGGCTTTTGTAAGGACCTTGGGGGCCATGGTGGAGGGGGGCCGGCCGCGGGCAGCCCTCACCAGGTGGCCGTGCGAGGCTGACTCTCCTGTCCTCTCCCCGTAGAGGTGACGGCCATGTCGGTGAGGCTGCGGTTCCTGTCCTCCGGGGACGCGGGGGCCGTGGGCGTCGTGGGCCGGAGCGCCTCCTTCGCGGGCTTCAGCAGCGCGCAGAGCCGGAGGATCGCGTAAGTTCTGCCCCGGTGGGGGGGTGCGGGGCGGGTTGGTCTTCTGCTGCCTGTGACCCCGAGGCTCGCTCTCCTGCCAGGCCTGCAGCCCAGCAGAGCGCGCGTGCGCGCGTACGTACGTGTGTGACACTGGGGGCTGGGAGAAACCTGTCATTTCCTTGAGACCCGAACGGGTATCATCTCAGTTGGTCCTGTAAGTCCGATCTGCCTGAGCTTATCAGGCCCACCTGGCAGATCGGAAAACAGGCTGAGAGAGGTGGAGCTGCTCACCCAAGGTCACACGGCAAGACGGGTTCAGAACTGGAACTTAGTCTCCTGGGGGCGGGGTTAGGATGGAATGTTCTTCCTGTTTGACAGGATGGGACGCGGGGCCACCTATCCCAGCTCTGTGACCTGGGGCCGGTGACTTCACCTCCGAGTCTCGGTTTCCTCATCTGAAACGGGGATCATGAGGGTCCCTCCCCCACAGAGCTGTCACGAGAGTACAATGGGGTGACACATAGCAAGCAGCCAACACATGCTGGTACACGGCAGGGGCTTGAGGGGAATTTTCGAAGGAAGAGGAGCAGCCTCTGCAGAGATGGGCCTGGGGTCAGTCTGGACCCTCCAGACACGAGTTCATGGCTCTCCATGTGTTCCCTCTAGCTGCAGGTAATCCCCAGGAGAAAGGTTCGTTTCCACTCTGGGGCCACCACCTGGTCCTGGGCTTCCTATCAGGCACGGTGCAAGCCTGGGGGTGCTGTCTGCCGGCTAGCAGGCCTGTGGGGCCGTCCTTCAGGCATCCTGAGGGACCCAAATATCTGCCTGTCCGAGCCAATGTGGTAACAGGCAGGACTCCCAGCCAAGCGGGGCTCCGAACCTGGTTGGTCAGGGAGTCAGTCAACAACCAAATCTCATCATGGCCCGCTCCTGCCTGAAGCCCTCCACAGGTTCCCATCCACCCAGACTACAATCCAGTGTTTGTTAGGCCCATCACGTGGCCTAACAAACGGCTCCCCGTGAGCCGGCTGGCCACCCGCCTTTTAAATCCTCTGCTTTTGCCACATTGACCTCTCTCCCCTCCAGGCCTTAGTGCAGGCAGTGCCCTCCACCTGGGCCCCTCTTCCCACTCCTGTTTACCTGGCCAGTTGCTGCTTAATCTCCTTTGGGCCTTGGCTTCACTGCCATGTCCTGGGGTGGACCACCTGAGCCCCAGACTACGGCTCCTCCCTGGGGTTCCACAGCTGCCCAATCCATCCCCAGTGATGCCTGGCCCCTGAGGTCAGGCTCTCCTGGACGCCCACTCATCTCTCGGCTGCTCAGTTCCAGCACGTGCCTGGTGGGGGAGAGGCGTCTCAGGGCCAAAATCCTGGAGTGTCCCAGTTGGACGCACCCTTAGGAATCCCTAATTCATTACACAAATATTTATGGAGCACCTACTTGGCCCAGGCCGGCTTCCAGGCTCTGGGGACAGACCCAGGCTCCGCCCTCCTGTCAGGGCAGCGAACAAGAAGCCAACCGTAATCAGGATGGATTCAGCAGGTGGCAAATGCGGTGAGTGAATTAAAACAGGGGGCTGTGGGAGGGCAGCAGGGGTCTCAGAGGAGGCTCTCAATGAGGCAGTGGCACGTTTAAGGCCAGAGAGAAAAGTTGCCTATTTTGTGCAGACAGTGGGCGAGGCTGGGGAAGTCTTTCAGGTGGAGGAGGCTGCCAGTGCAAAGGTCCTGAGGTGGGGATGAGCTTTGAGGCACAGAAAGTGGGTGTGTGGCTGTCTTGTGGGATAGAAGGAGAGAGGGAAGAGTGCAGGGCCTTGTGGGAGACAGTGAGGACATCTTTAGTGCAAGGGGAGCCTCCGAAAGGGCTGAAGCACCAGAAATGGAAATTCCCAGAGGGAGAGAGCGCCCAGTGCCCCCCCCCCCACCAACTCCCAGCCTCCAAGAGGAGAAGGTGTGGATGCCATTGTGTGGAAGGCATACAGTAGGCACTCCATAAGTGCTGCTGAGAGGGGCTAAGTAAACGGGCCAGGGAATGATGATGTTCCTTGATGGAACCACTCCCCAGCTGCCTCTGCTGGGCTTCATCAGGGCCCCCACCCCATGGGGTCTGTAATCAGGGCTGCTAAGGACAGTTGTGCGGGTCACCCAGCCGAGGGGGTCATCCAGCCATGTAACCCTCCCAAGCTGTGGGCCCTGGTGTGCAGCTGGTCCACCTGGCGGGGGCCTTTCTCTAATTCACACGGAATTAGTGGGGACTTCGTTCCTGCAGTATCGGGCGGGTGGGGGGGCTGTTCCACAGACCCTGCAGCCAAGTCCAGCTGCATGAGTGTGCCACGTGTGTGCTCAGCAGGGCCCCGTGCTCAGATGTAATGCTCTGCTGTTGCCATCTCGAAATCCTTAATGTGTTTTGAAATAAAAGGCCCCTCATTTTCTTTTGCACTGGGTCTCTTGAATTCTGTGCCTGGTCCTGCCGGCATCTCTCCTCCTGCTGGGCCTTTGGGGGCCTCTGGATTTCCTGCATCCATGGGAATGTTCCCGCAGGCCCCAGTCCGGAGCTCTGCCCAGATAATGTCCCAAGGTGGGCCCCTGGCCTCTTGCTGCTCCATTCCGGGATTTCTCCGGTCAGCACTCCGGGTGGGAAGAGGACAGAGGGGGTCGGACGCTGTCCCGCGAGGCCTCATTGGCCACCAGCAAGGACAAGATCACGTCCGGCAAAGTCTGCATCTTGGTTCGAGAAAGATGACCCTGATGGCCGGACCTCTCCTGGGGGCTCCTCCTGGAGGACCTCCCGCTCGGGGAGTTCTGGAGACCTCCCAGCCTGGGTGGGTTCTGAGGTCCCTGAGTGACCACCAGCCGGCCTCAGTCTCTCCGGCCCGCCTTGTCCACGGGTGAGGGGGAAGCTGCCCACCGGGCCAGGGAAGCAGCACATCTATTTTTAACTTCCTGTCTCTGTCCGACTCCCAGGAGTCTGGACCCTCGGCTCTGTGGCTGGACAGCCTAGATTGGGTTTCAGACCTAACCTTCTGGCCTTATTTCTCAGGTAATCCAACCAGGCTGAAGCACAGCCGCACTGCCGCGGCAGGCAGGCAAAAATAACCTCAGAGAGGAGAGCAGGAAATCGAGGCTCATTGATGCTTTTTGTCCCTAAACCCCACTCCTCTCCTGGCACCTGAAACCCCCTAGACTCTGCCTGTGGCTTTTTATTCCATAACCAAAGAATTCACTTGAGGAAGTGATCCATCTGGTGGGGAAATTTTACACTAAGGTGTGAATGATTGCTATCATAAGGCCATATCGAATACATATATGGTAATATAATATAAGGCCATAGGTAATAAGGTGGGGAGAGGAAGAAGAGGGCCAGGCCGATGCTGTCCCATTCTGCCCCCATTCACAGGCGTGGCTGCCCTTAACCCCCTCCTGCCACTCCTGAGCCAGGTCAGCTCTCCCCCAGGCTGTCAGGAGGGCACCCTCTGAGCTAGAAGCCACCGTCCTAGCCACCTCGGGCATTCCTCTGTTGGGATGGCTGGGACACGTGGGGGTGAAAACTGAGCAGTAGCCTTTGATTTTCAAGGAGAGGAGCCCGGAGAAAGAGGAGCAGTCAGGGGTGCAGCCACGTGTAGGAACGGGCTAGCCCACGCGAGCCTTGAACCTTGGCGTGTGCCCTGTGCGTGTTACACATCCTCCCCGCCCACCCAGTGCCACCAGACGTGGGGCGAAAGGTTAGCTTACACCGTCGGCGCACTGGGTCCTGGACTGAAATGTGTGCAGTTGGTCCTATAATTGCCCCATGGCCGCTGCGAGCCCCGCCTGCCTCCAGATCCCGCACCTGCAATAGCCGGGCACCAAAGTGTGTGCCGACGACCCCAGGCAGAAGGAGCGTCCCGGTGGCCTCACGTGAGGGCAGGGGCCCCTGGGTGACACACGCGCCCATCTGGCATGCCAGAAGCTGTTTAACATTGACTGAGTCCTCCCCGAGCTGGTAAAACATCCGCCCCCGGAGGCTGCTCCCTCCCCCGCCCCTGTGTCCCTGGGCCAGACCGGCAGCCTGATTTCGCCACCCGAAGGATACAGCACCGCCTCACCTGGCTGAGCCAGCACTCGGGGCCCCGCGCCTGCCCGCTGGAACCTCAGACAAGAGCCCTGAACTCAGAGCCTCCCCGGGAGCCAGGCCCAGCTGCAGCAGTGAGGGTAAGGAAGTCTCCAGGTAGATGGCGGCGGGGCCCGGCCAAGGGCACCCACCTCCTGGGGACTGTGGACCCCCGGGAGCTGGCAGGTGAGCAGGGCTCCTGCAGCCCCACTTCAAAGTCGCTTGCCTACCCCGCCTGCCTCCCCGCCCGCCCGCCCGCCGGCCAGGGCCCCTAGCCGGTCTGAAACCCACCTCTCTGAAGCCTGCAGCCCCACCCGTCTCTGCCAGTCCGGGGATGTCAGCTTTGTGGAGGGCCTGTTCCAAGAGGTGGGTGATGTGGCCTCAGGCAGGGCGAGGGAGGAGGGAGCACAGCCCCCTCGAGGGCCTCCCAAAGTGTACCTTGACATATAACGTACAAATAACAGCAAAAGCAGGTAAGGGATGAGCAGTGCTGATGGACCAGGCTTTGTGCCCAGTGCTGATTGGAGGGGCCTTCCCCGTTCACCCCCATGTAAACTTCGCATCCTGCTTTTATTTTTGCCCTTGGCTCTAAGGACTATCTGATGTTTATTGTCTTATTTAACTCCGACAGGTATACAGCACTTACCCTTTGCCGGGCACTACTCAAAGCCCTTTCCATTTGTTAACTCATGCAACTCTCATGTAGCAACCATTTCCCTGGTGCCCATTTTATAGAGGAGAAAACTGAGGCACAGAGAGGTTCAATAACTTAGCCAAGGTCACTCAGCTTGTAAGTGGGGTTTCCATAGAGACCCTGGCATCTAGCTCCAGAGCCCGTGCTGGCTGTCCCGTGGTCCCCCCCCCCCGCCCCCGCCGCCCCAGCTGGCCTGGCAGCTCACAAGGACATGGGTTTTGTCTGTTTTGGTCACTGTTTTACCTCCAGCCCCTAGAGTGCTGTTTGGTGTGCAGTTAGTGCTCAATAAACATCTGTTGAATGAATGACTGTCTCATGACTGCGTCATGGGGTCCGTCCTTTTTACAAATCGGGAAACTGAGGCTCCAGTATGTTAAGTACCTGTGACTTCGGGCTGGGATTGGAACATGGGTGGCTGACCAGGAGCTTGTGTCTCACAAGACAGTACAGGCTCCCAGGTTGGCAAGGCCCCCGATCCTCCCAGATCCTTCCTTGCTGCAGTATCCAGGCAGGGCCTGGCATCTCTGTTGCGAGCATGTTGGTTTGTGATGTGGCTGCGCAGCCGTGGCGAGGAGCCCAGCCGGAGGGGTGGCCGGGACGGCTCCTCTCTCTCGAGTCAACAGCAGGTGTCTGTGTGTGTGTGTGTGTGTGTGTGTGTGTGTGTGTGTGTGGACTGTGCAGGGTCTGGCTGGGCTGGATCTACAGCCTGGCTGCCCGCTGAGCCTCCTGGGGTGCCAGGGAGCTCCTCTCAGACCTGCTGAGGGAGCTGAAGCTGTGTCCTGCTTGCCCCCTGCCAGGCTCTCCAGACCCCAATCCTCCTCTCCTCCCTGGCTCACTCTGTCCCCGGACTCGGAACACCCTTCTAGGGTTGACCCCTTGTCCTGCTCTTCCTTTGAGGTCCAGCTGAGCACCTTGGGTTCCTGGACATCTCTGCTCTCTAGTCCCCGTGTCATGCTGTATTTCCCTCATCCTGTTCAGCTCACTCTTTACTGAGCACCTACTGTTTTCCAGGCTGTGGGGGCAGGGAATGAGAGGGTTAGCATGTGCTGATTGTAACAGTAGCAAACATGTATCAAGCACGGCCGGCTTCCATTGTGCCAAATGTTAGACCTGATGTCTAACAGAATTCTCAGCACCTCTCTCTGATTTAGGGTCTATTGTTTTCCCATTTAACAGAGAAGTAACTGAGGCTCGGTTTGTGCATTAGTGTAGAGGTGAAGTTCCTTTGACAAAGAAACTCCCCCAATTACAGGCACTTAAATAAGACTGATTTTTCTCCTCTGCACCCCTCCCCGCCTCCGACTTTGTGCATGCTCCCCCCACCTTTCTCTCTCCCTCTCCTCCTCCCCCGCACCTCTCTCTTCTCTCTCTCTTCTCCCTTCCCCCCTCCCCCCCACCCCCGAACTTAGAAAGGCTAGCGGCTCCTTTAAGAAACTGACCCAGATGTTACTTTGAGTGTCATTTCCGCCCTTGTTTCTTCTGTGAGAAGGGAGTCGTGAAGCGGCACCTGTTGCAGGGGCATCTGGGAAACAGTGTCTTTAGAGACTGAGCCTTTAGAGGATGGACTGAAGCCCACCTGGTGGTGAGTGTGTCAGCCACCCTGCTCTTGCACCTACCGGACAAGGCATAGGATCAGAGGACTCTAGAAGGGGCTCAGACACCAATGAAGCCAGCCCCGTACTGGGACGAGGGGACCCTCACCCTGTACGACTGCCGTCACTCCTGAAACGTGGGTGTATCCCTCAAGGGCTGAGAGACAGCTGTCACTGCTAGGAGACATCAGTTCTTAGGATCATTCAGTCCACGCCCCCAACTCCAATAGGCTTAAGCAAAAGGGAGAACCAACTGGCTCCTGTAACTGAAAATTCCATGGGCAGGGCTAGCTTCAGGCATAGCTAGATCCAGGAACTCATCGCTGTGTGGATTTGGCCTGCCTCCACCCGCTTCTCCCTGCGCTGGTTTCATTCTCCCGACACGATGCAAAGGACGTGGCGGGCGGTTCCAGGTGTAGGTTCCCCCAGAATAGCAATGCCAGAAGAAAGAACTCTTTTCCTGCCTGTGACTTTGGAACCAAAATCCAGGCAGGGTTACTGGCCAGATTTGTGTCCCATGCCTCTCCCTGAGGCAGGGGAGTGGAGTCTATCGACTAACCCAGGCCTGGGACATATGTTTGCCTCAGAATGCCTGTGTGTGCGTGTGCGTGTGCGTGCGTGTGCGTGCGTGTGTGTGTGTGCGTGCGTGTGTGTGGTGATCTGTCAGGCTACCTCCCTCCAAACAACATGTATAAAGAGCAGAGCTGGGAAGGTGCCCCAGAGGACAACTGAGGTGCTATTTCCAGACGGAGGGGCATGGATCCTGGGCAGACAAAGCCAACAGGAGCCCGCGGTTCGATCTGGCCTCCGGGCTTGTTTGCCTGTATAAACAGAGCACACTGAGCAGAAAGCTTTGGCCTTTGGGCTGCTTGAATGTATTTCTCACTGGGTTAATTTCTCACGTCAGGTTCTTCTTCATCTTTTTTTAATCTTCAAATGCAAGCCCTCATTTTGCAGATGAGGAAACTGAGGCCCGGAGGGTCTTGGCAACTTGCCTGAGACCACACGGCTTGGCGGCGATGGGGTGGGACTCAGCCGGGCCTCCTGACAGCCTGGGGTTTGACCAGTGATCCCAAAATGCCTGCCCCCGGGGAGGGCTTTGTCCGAGATCCCCGCTCTGACCCTCCTTCCTCCTCACAGAAAGTCCATCCACGGGAACTCGGTGAGGTCTCGAATGCCTGCAAAATCCTCCAAGATGTACGGCACGCTGCGGAAGGGGTCTGTCTGCCCGGACCCCAAGCCGCAGCAAGTGAAGAAGATCTTTGAAGCACTCAAGAGAGGCCTCAAGTAAGGACCCCATTTGTTGCCCTTAAAATGCCCGTCCTCTGCCCTGGCCTGCTTCTCCTCTCGGCCCGTCCCTGAAGACCGTGGCTGCGTCTCGTCTGTGAGAGGCCACACAGGGAGCTAGCTCCTGCTTATTCATTTCGCCCACAAGCATGTCCTGGGGGCAGCCCCACGCTCGGGCCTGTCCTTGGGCGCTAGGGACACAGTGCAGGCTGCCGGAGGAGCCTGGTCTCATGGCGCTTATGGCGTGGAGGGGAGACAGCACTGAGGGGGTGACACGATCAATAACGTAACTCCCAGCAGCCTTAGTGCAGTGAAGGAAGGTGACGGCGGGGCAGCGCCCGGAAGCCCCTCACACAGGGTGACCGGGGAGACTCCCCGAGGAGATCCGGCTGGTCGTGCTGGCCTCTGGGAGATAAGTGTCCCAGGCGGAGGGAACAGCACAGGCAAAGGCCCCGAGGTAGGAGCGTGTAGGACAGGTGGCCAGGGTGGCTGGGTCTGAGTGAAGGAGAGCTGGACTGGGTAGCTGGGCAGAGGCCAGGATGGGAAGATTCAGTCACTCACTCCAGATCTTTTGATTGAGGGCTTATGAAGCGCTAGGCACAGGGTGTGGGAGTGAGCAACACACAGAAATCCCTGCCCCCGTGGAGCCTCCTAATGGGAGACAGACAGACACTAAACAACATACAGAGTAAGTCAGGTGGTGGTAAATAAATCAGGGTAAGAAGGCGTGGGGCTGATTTTAAATAAGGGGTTTTAAAGAAGTTCTCATTAAGAAGGTGACATTTGAGCAAAAACCTGAAGGGGTGAAGGAGTGAGCCCAGCGGATAATGGAAAAAGAACATTCTAGGCCAAGGAAGCCACACATGCAAAGGCCCTGGGGCAGGAGCATGATTAGAGGATTAGGGGCGTAGTGAGCAGACCAGCTTGGGAGCCAAGAGAGGGAGGGGTGAGGAGGTCTGGGGGACAGTGGGGACCAGATGATGTGGGTCCTTGTGAACACATGGTATTCACTCTGGGGGAGCTGGGAGCCATGGAGTGTTCCACGTGGGGGAAGGATGATCCGAGTTTGGTTTTAATGAGATCCTTCTGGCTGTATGTGGAGAATGGAGTGCAGGGGGCCAGGGCAGAAGGGGGGAGGCCGGTGAGAAGGTGACGGCAAGAGCCCAGGTGGGACATGACGGTGGATTTGGCCACAGGTGGCAGCTGGGCGGTCAGGGGACAGGGTCAGTTTCAGGATACATTTTGACAGTGGGACAGACAGGATTTATTGAGGGAGGGGTTGGGGGTGAAGAGGAAGATGGAAGGAGGGAGTCAGGGCACAACCCTGAGGTTCACGGAAGAGGTCAGGACTCTGGCTGAAGCTCAGTGTTGCCCCCTGAGTAAGCCGCATGGAGGGAGGGGCCCCTACCAGTAGCCCCTCCATGTTCCTCAACCCCAGACACCCAGTTCGGGGGGCCTCCTCGCTCCCAGCAGGCACCTTGCTGCAGTCCCAGCCCCGTCCCCACCCACCCCTTCTGCACCTGCCGCCCCCACTCTGTTCAAGTCTCTCCCATGGCTCTCGCCTGCCCTTGGGGGGGCATTCAGGGTCCTTTCTGACCTTCAACCTTTCTAGACTTTTCTTCTATTATTCCCTCCCCATCCTCACTGGTACCCCGAATGTGCCATCTTCCTTCACACGCCTGCACCTTGGCTCTTGCTGAGCGGCACCTCGGCAGTGGGGAGCGGCCATTCGGCCACGCCCCTAGTTCAGCACACATGCACACCTTCTGAATCGGACGCTGTTCCTTCCTGCTGGGATGCCTGTCCTGCCCTCCTCCGCCTCTTGCGATCCTGCTCTTTGTTCCTCACTAATTAACACCAATGACAGCAGCAGCTATGGCTCGTTCGGGGCTTTACACACATCGCATCCTTGAATCCCCGAAGAACGTTGTCAGAGAATCTCCTAACCGCCTCCTCTCCTCGGTAGAGGAAACTGAGTCCCAAAGATGGGAAGCAACTTGTCCAGGGTCCCCACAGCCAGGAAGCAGGAAGTGGGGCTCCAGGGCCGATGCCCACCTGCCCCCTGTTCCCCTCCCCCCGCCCCGTACCGGGGTTAAGGGTAAATGTTACCTCCCCCACTTGCCACGTCCTGACTCCCCGCCCAGGGGGCATCCATCGCCCTCCGCCCGTGATGCACACTGCACGTCTGGCCCAGCGCTGGCGCAGAGTGGGAGCGGGGGGCGTGTGCCTGGAGCCTGTCTTCAAGGGGCTCATCTCCCAGGACTGCCTCTGGATTCCTATAAGGACCACACATTTGGGACTCGTCTGGGCTCACTCAATAGCATCCCCTTCTTCCTGGAGAGCCCAACCCCTAAGTGAGCAATGGCCTGGCAGATGGTGGTGTAAGTGGGCCCGGAGAGGGTGAGTCCCCTTCCTGGGTGGTCCAGTAAATCTATGATGAAGCAGGACGGGCCCTCACCCCTGCCCCCCAAGTCCAGACCTCAGGTTTCATGTCTAAGGCTCTTTGGCTGGAAAAGAACATGAAATGTCCCCTCCAGGCCCACAGCTTTCTCTGTGCTTCCCAGAATGGGTCTTCCGGCCCTTCTCTGGTCCTTGGTCCTAAACATGCTGACACCAGGATGGCCTGCCTTTGTCGGTGAGGGGGGCGTGCTCTTGCTGACCTCCCCATGGGCTGGGGCGAAAAGAGTGGCCTCTGGAGGCCACTGCCTGGTTTCAGATCTGGGTTCAGCCTCTTCCCTGCTGCGACTCTGGGCTGAGTTTACTTGCCCATTTTGAGGGTCAGTTTGCCCATCTCTAAAATGGGTCTAATAACCGTAGAACCTGTTTGTGTGGCTGTTTTGTGAATTGATGGAGAGATTTCTCATTTTGCACAGCCCTGGGCACAGAGCCCACAGCGTGTGGGGTCTGGAGGCTGAGCGAGCTGGGGCCAGACTGCCGGCGGGTGGGATGGCTCTGCCGTCTGACCGCTGAGCGGGCCGAGAACCACCGCCGTTCCTGCTGTGGCAGCTGTGGCCGCCTCTGCTCCAGAACACTGGTCACCTGGCCGTTTCTTTTCGTCGTCTTGTTCCTTGGCAAACTCTTCCTCGTTCTCCTCACAGGGAGTATCTGTGCATCCAGCAGGCCGAGCTGGATTACCTGTCAGGTCGCCACAAGGACACCCGCAGGAATTCGAGGCTGGTGAGACCTCTCCCTGCCCCTCCCCACCTGAGCAGCCTTGGTGGGGTGCGCCTGCCTCGCACGCATGATAAAGCTCAGTCTCGGGGCTCAGAGGCCTAAGGAATAGACTGTCTTTATTTTCCGATGGCCCCTGAGGGATTTAACCTCACAGGTGGTTAGGAAGCTTCCACTCTCCCTCCCCCTCCTCCCCGCCTCAAGGTCCAGCAGTCCACCTCCACTCACTCTCTGGCTCTAGAAGTAACTGTAAGCTAGGCAAGTGTATGAAGGCTCCTCCATTCTAGCTGATCCCATTTCATGGGCGGGCACACTGAGGCAAGGAAAGGCGTGGCCACGCTGGGGACCTGGGGTCCTGCCTCACTGGACACTGCTGCTTCTCAGCTTCCTGCGCAGTTACTTTTCCTCCCAAAGCCTTGAGAACTTTCCTATTTCTCTATAGCTTACATGGAGTCTTAATTTCATAAGCGCACACATACAATTTCTCGTAAATGCCTATGTGGGAAAACACACACTTTTGGGGGGATTTAACCCACCTTTCCTTTTGCTTGACACCCCTTCCTCCCCAGTCTTCGGTGTCCCACCCTGTTTAACCCCTGAGGACAATCTAGGATTTCTCTTTCCATATTTTTCTCCCTGATCACATAGTCACGTAAACACATGAACGCGTAGAGAAGATTTTGGTCAACAGTTGTCTTACAAAGATGAAGTCGCAACTTACCCACTGTCCCGAGTCTTGCTTTCTCTCTCTAGTGAAATCCCTGACCTTGTGGAAAATCCTCCCGGCTCAGGCAGGGTGATTTAAGCTTAAAAGAGGGCCTGTTTGGAAATAGAGTTTATCCGCATGTGGCCGCGGCCACATTGACGTGTTGTGTGCGGCTGTGTGCAGACCACATGGCAGAGACCACGCGGCTCCCAAGGCCAAAAGTATTCACCATCTGGCCCTTTATGCGAAGATCTGCTCAGTTGATAGGTTCTTTCTGTTGGCCACCCCCTGGACCCTGGTGTGGCCGGATCGACCTGGATTTGCATTTCCCCAAGCCTGAACCCCCGCCCCGGGGTGGGGGTGCCCTCCCTCAGTTCTTCTGGCCATGGCCGAAATCACCCCTTAAACAATCAGACCGCAATGGTCCCCATTTTGTCAAAGGCTTACTGTGTCCTTTACTCTTCATGGCAACCGTATGGGGTGGGTGCTATGTGCTATGGCCACCCCATTTTACATGAGGACATGGAGGCTCAGAGACGTTGAGTAACTGGCCTGGTACACACAGCTGGGAAATAGAGCCAGGCCGAGACCTGCATCACCCGAAGCGTGTGTGTTTATCACTCTTCCCCCAGGCTCTGGACAGGCCACCGATGCCTGTAGGCCGCAGAGGTGGGAGTGCGCGCTGGCTTTCTGTCATCTGAATTCAGGTGCCCCTGGGGTGTAGCCTCATGGGTCTTGGAGGGGCACCTGGAGCCCTAACATCCTGTCCTTCCCCCTCTTTTTCTCCCCCACAGGCTTTCTATTATGACCTGGACAAGGTGAGCGAGACTTTCTGGTCTACAGGGCTGTAAGCAAGGTGGGCCAGGCCTGGGCCCATGTTGTTGCTCCCATTTTGTCCCTTGGCCCATCCTGCAGGACAGATACCTGGGTTTCCTCCCTATTTTACAAATGGGGAAATAGGTTCAATGATGAGCCTTCCTCGAGGATGGTGAGGGGCTGGCCTGGCTTCGAGCCCAGTTCTGTGTGTTAGGACCTGGGTCGGGGGCAGGGGCTGGGGGCTGGGGAGTGGCCCCGGCTACTTTTAAAGCACCTCCTCTTTTTCCGGGAGAAGCAAATGCGCTCTGTGGAAAGGCACATCCGGAAGATGGAGTTTCACATCAGCAAGGTCAGCCTGCCTCCTGGAGGTCACAGGGTGGGGCTGGGGCTTGCTGGACCTCCACTGGGTTGGCAGGGGAGAGTCTGAGGAGGAGCAGGGACTGCAGGGGCTTGGCCCTGAGGTGGGAGTCGGGGAGGGGGATGCCGCTGGGCTCCCCAGGAGTGTGGGGTTTAGATGGAAAGACCCCATGCTCCATCTTATAGGGCGAGAGGGCTGAGTCCAACCATCCCATTGTAGAGATGGGAGAGTAGAGGCCCAGAGAGGGCCAAGGATGGGCCCAAGGTCACACAGAGAGTCCTTTAAGCTTTACACTCTCCCAGCTCTTCCATATGCCCTTGCTTTGCTCTCCTGGGGGTCCAGTGGTGGGCAGGGTGTCACAAACCCACCTCCCCCGTTTTACACCAAAAGTCGGGCAGGGGGAGGGGAAGTGATGCATTTACCCATCCAGGTCATTGGTTTTTACTGTGCGCTCCCAGGTGCTGGGGACACAGAGTGGATGAGCAATGTGGTCCCTGCCCCTGGGCCTCAACATTCCCGGGGCAGGGGACCCAGAACAGCTAGCCCAATAGCGCAGGGCTGCGTGGCGTCTCGGAGGGTGAGCCAGGTAGGCAGGCCTGGGGTCCTGCGCCTCGGCATGGACAGCGCCCAGCAGCCCGTGCGCCCTCCGCAGGTGGATGAACTCTACGAGGGCTACTGCATCCAGTGCCGCCTGCGAGATGGTGCCTCCAACATGCAGAGGGCCTTCTCCAGGTGCCCGCCCAGCCGCGCCTCCCGAGAGAGCCTGCAGGAGCTGGGCCGCAGCCTGCAGGAGTGCACCGAGGTGGGTGCAGAGGGCCGCCTGTGGCGGGGGGCGGGGGGGGGGCGGTGGCGCTGGACCCCGAGGAAGCATCCCTCTCTGCCCCCGGGCCTCTGGCTGGCAGGATCTGCGTGCCCCCCTCCTCCCACCTCAGCTGGCCCAGGGCTGGGCAGTGAGCCACCTTGTGTGGGGCTTTGCAGGACATGTGGCTCATCGAGGGGGTCCTGGAGGTTCACCTGGGAGAGTTCCACATCAGGATGAAAGGTAACAGAGCTGAGAGGGAGTGGGCAGGAGCCAGTTTGGGTGGGGGCTCAGGCCTTCTTGGGGGCCCTGGGACTTCTGCCGAGGGTGGGGGTTTGGTCAGAATCCCAGGGGTCCAGGCAAAACTTTGGGTTTCCACTCATGGGACTTGTGACCCCAGCCGAGTCCTGTCCCCGGAGTTGGACGTGAGGGCCCAGTCCTGTCACTGTCCAACCTGATGATTTATCCCTCCCTGAAGCGGATACCCACACTTGGGCAGGGGATCCCCCTGTGAGGGCCTGAGGTCCATGGGGCAGGGGCAGAGCAGGCCAGAGAGGAGATGAGCCCGTCTCTGTGTTCCAGGCTTGGTGGGCTACGCACGCCTCTGTCCCGGAGACCAGTATGAGGTATGGCCACCTCCACTGTCAGGCCTCAGGGTTCCCCACCAGACCTTTGGGGGTTGGGAGCTGCTGGGAACCAGGGTCCCGGCTGGGTTTCTGTCTCCACCCCCGCCTGGCCAGCAGGGAGGGCCCCCAGGCAGGTGGCAAGGGGGAGTGCCTACCTGGGGCAGCTGGCCTATCCCCTCTTGGGCCGTGCCCACAGGTGCTCATGCGCCTGGGCCGCCAGCGCTGGAAGCTGAAGGGCCGGATCGAGTCAGACGACAGCCAGACCTGGGAGGGGGAGGAGAAGGCCTTCATCCCTGCCCTGCACGAGAACTTCGAGATCAAGGTGGGTGGGGCCCGGGGGGGCGGGGCCAGGGTGCCCAGGGGCTCAGCTCAGACACCATCCACAACTCCCACCGTCCCCCCAGGTGACAGAGCTGAGGGGCCTGAGTTCACTGACGGTGGGCACAGTGTCGTGCGACATCACTGACTTCTTCACGACCAGTCCGCAGGTGATCGTGGTGGACATCACAGAGCTGGGCACCATCAAGCTGCAGCTGGAGGTGCTGTGGAAGTGAGTAGGGGCCAGCCGCCTTCTGGGGCTCTGAGGCCCCTCCCCAAGGCCAGCCCCAAACTCCCACCCACAGGGCCTGCCACCCAGAGCTGAGATGTGAGGGGCCTCCCTGGCTCCCCCTGGTGGTCTGACCACACCCTAGCACCCACCAGTGGGCATCCTGCCCTCATTCAGCCCCACAGACCGGCTGGAGCCCAGACTTCTTTGTAGCCTCTGCCCAACCCACTTTCCCCGCCCCCCTGAGTTCTAATTCCCTTCTTACAACTAGAGACCCGTGCTGGCCAGGACCCTTTCCAGGGGCCTCCTGGGCTGGGTTCCATGGAGGAGCCTTGCCTCTGCCCAGGAGGGCTCTCCTTACTGCTCCCACCACCTCATTTCCTGCTGGCCCCTGCCGTCTAGCAGTCACTTAGCCCCTCTGGACCATAGACCCCTTGGGTGGGGGACACTCATGAAAACAGCCCCTGCCCAGGGTGGGGGATCTCCATCAGGCATTGCAAGGGGGAACGGGGAGTGCCCGTTTGGGGCAGCTGACTCATCACCTTCTTGGGTCATTCCGTGAATGCTGGTGGTCTGCACAGGCTTTGTGTTTGCTCTTCCTCCATATGAAACCTAGTGTTTCGAGAGAATTCTCTTCCCTTTACTTCCCAAGGCAGGTGCAGCAGGAACTAAGGGCTGAGGCCTGCTTCCTCCATTCTGGTGCTTGCTCCGACTGGTTGGGGCCAGTCTCTCCGGTTTCTTCTTCCTGGGGTGGGCGTCCGAGCCTGGGGTCACTGGATGCTGCTTTCTCCCCAGTGCGCTGGGCGAATTGGGGCGAGTGAGCACCCCCAGCCTCAGTGTCTTCATCTGTCTAGTGGGGGCTGAGCACACTTCTTCTGCGGGAGGCTCCTCAAGTCTATAGGGTGGTGGGCAGCCCAGCACCGTCCAATTGGAGGCCAGGCAAATCCAAGGCCGCAAGCATCCTGCTGGCTGCAGCTGCCCTAGGCAGGCAGGGAAGGCTTCCCAGGAGGCGCCTGCAGCGTCTGGGCCCCACACAGCAAGAGCCAGGCCTTTAAGCGAAGGAGAGCGAGCAGGTTTCTGTGAGGCGGGGAGGTTACCCAGACTTCCTGGCTCCCTGGGCAGGCGCAGGGAGGGCCCAGCTTGAGCCCCACACCCCCTGTATTTCACACGTTCACTTTGGATTCCCAGCCTTACCTATGACCAGGACCGACAGAGGTCCTTTGATAGATAATGGCGTCCCCTTTACAGATGAGGAAGAGAGGGATGGTGACATCGTTGACCCAGAAAATGGCAGAACTGAGCGTCCACTGTGCCTCTGCTGAGCTTCTGAGGGGACCTCTGAAGGGGGTGCCATTCTCATGAGTGGTGGCCGATGGTCGCCCCTGGCCATCTGGCTCAGGGCCCTCAGGGTGGTGGGAGTCTGAGACGTTCCCAAGGGGGTTGTGAATATGCACCTCGAGTCCCCAGGCTGTGCCTGTGACCCCAGGTCAGGCCAGGCCCCCGCCAAGCCTCCATCCCTCTTATAAAAGTCCCCCGGGTCTGGTCTGTGCTCCTATGTCCTCCCAGGTGGTGATGGCACCCTGCCCTTCTGCTCTCTCCTCCAGCCCGTTCGATACTGAGAGCCTCCTGATGTCACCCAGCCCCACAGGCAAGTTCTCCATGGGCAGCAGGAAGGGCTCCTTGTACAACTGGACACCCCCAAGCACTCCCAGCTTCCGAGAGAGGTATTACCTGGTGAGTGAGCCTCCCCAGGGCAGGGATGCTGCGGTCACGCTGGGATTTCGGATGGGGGCAGCTCCCCGGGGGCCAGCATGTGGGGCTGGGCCGAGCAGCCTGGCGCCTCCGGAGGTAGCAAGCTCTGGACTCAGCCTCCCTTGTTTTGGGGACATCCTGGGTAGTTTCCGGTGCTTTTTCTTCCTCGCTGTCAGCCCTTCGTTCTGGGGGCCTCCGGGCTTGGTTCCAGGTTTGGCTGGTTCTCCTGGAAGCCTGGAGTGGGGTTCTCTGGATGGTTCTACCACGCCCGCCATAACCTTGGCCTCCGATTTACTTGTTTTACCATTAAATTTAATGTATGATTCTAGTAGGTAATACCTTGACATAGCGCACAGTAAGACATCTCTTTCCTGTGACCTCCAGAGATCTGGGTCCCTTCCTTAGTGCCAACTATTGTGGTCAACTACTTCCATATTCTGGCCATGGTGGGCCCGGTATACTTCAGTTAAAAAAAAAAAAAAAAAAATCACATCTGGTCCAGAGTATGGACTCTGGAACTAGACAGGCAGGGGTCAAATTCTGTTTATGCCTCCCACCTGCTGTGTGACCTTGCACAAGTCACTCAACCTCTCTGGACGTCAATTTCTGTATCAGAGAGCTGCGCACAACAGCACCACTCTGGTGGGGGTTTGCAAGGATTAAACGAGTTACTACGTGAGAAGTGCTTGGGAGAAGGCCTGACAAGAATAGCTGGTGCTGGGGGAACGTCAGTTATCAGTGGTCTGCCTAAGGGGGGTGGGGGAGGGCCGCAGCGGAGGGGGCAAGGGCTCGCCCATTCACATGACTCATTCAGAACTCTGTGCCAGGCTCTGTTCTAGGCCAGGTGAGGACGGTGCCCTCGGGGAGCACTGCCTGCCCAAGGGGCTAGGGACCGTGGGAACAAAGCCAGGAAGGGGGGAGGGGACTGCTGGGGCAAGGTGGGACTTGCTCCTTAAATAAAATAGGGTGTGCAGGGGAAGGTCCCCAGAAAAGGTGCCATTTGACTGACGGCCTGAGGGGACAAGGGCACGACCACAAAGACCTAGCGGGAAGAACGTTCCGGGAAGAGAGAAGAGTCACCGCAAAGCCCTTGGCCAGGAAGGCGCGGAGCCTGGAGGCCAACAGCTCGGTGGCCCCAGGGGCTGGAAAGGAGTGAGTTCGAAGGACGATGGGGGTCAGGACAGACAGGCTGCAGGGTCCAGTCAGCACCTCCAGGCCGCCGGCCACCTTGGGCCTCAGTCATGGCGACAGGGTGGGTGTGCAGCATGAGTGTTTAGAGAGGGAAGCGCCGCCGGGGGCCTCACCGTGGTCCCAGGTGCGGCAGTAAGGATGCTCCTGTGTCCCCCTCCCCAGTCTGTCCTGCAGCAGCCAGCGCGGCAGGCTCTGCTGCTGGGGGCGCCGAGGGCCACTTCCATCCTCAGCTACCTATCTGACAATGACCTTCGGGGCCCTGGCCTGCGGAGCCAGAGTCAGGAGCTGCCCGAGATGGACTCCTTCAGCTCCGAGGACCCCCGAGACACGGAGACCAGCACATCGGCATCCACCTCAGACGTGGGGTTCCTGCCCTTGGCCATTGGCCCCAACTCCTCCATTGAAGAGGAGGCCCAGGAGGACGCCCAGCCCCTGGGCCTCCTGCCAGAGATGGACCCCCTGGCAGAAGGCTCCTTTGTGGAGCAGCCTGGCTGGAGGAATTTGGGAATAGAGGGCCCCGACCTGCCACGGGGCTCCCCATTCCACAACCATACAGCCCCGGGTAGCCAGAAAGACCACAACGAAGGAGAAACCGAGGACAGAGTGGATGGGCCTGAGGTGACCCTTGAGAGGCCCCTGCAAGAGGTCCTGGATTTACTGAGGTCCGTGGACCCGGCCCAGCCGCAGCTGCGGGAGCTGGAGTACCAGGTTCTAGGCTTCAGGGACCGGCTGAAGGTAGGTTTATTCATCAAGGGGCGGCAGCCCTGCTTTACCAGTGCCTAACAAGGGGGAGTAGTCTCAGGGGCCAGCCGGCCTGGGCCAGCATCCCGGGCAATGTCTTCCCTCGGGGCCTCAGTCTGCACATCTGTCAAGTGGGGAGAACAAAGGTCCTCGGTGGCCCGGAGGAGGATTATAAAAGGAAGTCGGGGATCACAGTAGATAACCCGCTCCACATCTGGCCAAGAATCCGGCCCCATCTGGCATCTTCTGACCCGGGCAGGTTGGGGCTGAAGCTGGGTGTTCCATTCCCAAACCTGGGGTGTGTTCGGGGTCAGAGCTGGTGCCGCAAAGGCCCCGCGCAGCCGCACACCCTCCCCCCTGAACCTGCTTCTCGGCAGGGCCTGTGGCAAGGGCCGTCCTCGGTGGCTCTCAGCGGTGCTGGCCTGGGCAGATTATTCAGTTTTTCCAATTACATAATTTTAAATGTATGGGCAATAAAACGTGTAACACGAGCACCTACGTACACATCAGTTAATTTATGAAAGCACTGTCTTTGGTGTAGGACACACTGGGACTGAAGGAGTTTAACGGCTCTCTTCAGAAATTATTTGGGGGGATTTCGAGATTTAGAATGGGCCCAGCCACAGTGCTGAGGGGCCTAGTGCTCCCGAGCGCAGGGAGGCCGTGACGGGCCTGGGAAGACGCACGTGTGAGCTCAGCCTCGTTCCGGCGGGAGTTAGTGCTGTGGGGGCTTGAGCTCAGTGTTAGTGCGTCGGTGGAAGTTCAACACTGTGTCTTCACACAGAAACACATGGAAGACAAGGTTCTGTGCTGACGGGCTGATGAAAATGTTGTGACCGGAGGCTCACGGTCTCTGCGCTTCTCCTAGGAGTGATGTTTGGTACACCGCGCATTAGGAGAACCGGCTGTGTGTGTGTGTGTGTGTGTGTGTACACGCATATATACCCATACCCAAGGAAGAGAGACCCCCCCATTTTTTTTTTCTATCAGGAGAGGAGATCTCTGCAACTAGCCTTGTTATTCCCGTTAGTCAAAGTTTTCTCTGTGGGCTCCACCTTTGGGAGCCTCGTTCTGGCTCTCAAGGCAGGATCTGGGAGCACTCTGTGTGGGACGAGGCCTGAGCGTGCCGGGGATGGGGACACAGCAAGCCCTGGAGTCCCGCCATGAATCGAGAGGAGACCAACATCTCCCGCAGTGGGTTTCTAAGCGCCGAGGAAGGGACCTGCCTTTGAGAGCTGTGGCACCAACACTCTCTCCCCACCCCCGCCAGTCAGGGGGTGGCTCAAATGTCCCCTCCTTCCGCGTTTCCCTGGGAGAAGAGACACTTGAGATCTAGAGGCTCACCTGGCAGCCTGTGAGCCTCCTGAAGAGGTTGTGACCCACGCCATCTTTTTAAAATAATTTGGGATTGGTGGCCAATATTTAAAAACTGGCAGCTTCCCACAAGTCTAGGTTTCCAGCTTTTTTTTTTTTTTTTAAGAAAATGGACCGATCTGGCAACCCTGGCCCCCCACATTCCCGAGTGGCAGGTGTCAGCTGGGGCAGAGCAGTAGCCTGGCCCTCTCAGGGGGAGGACGCACGTTCTGCTCCCCACCTGCCCCACTCACTCACTCCTGTCTCTCGCCCTGTCCCTGTGGGCTCTGTGAGCCAGGGGAGGCTTTTCAGATCTGCGTCCCTTGTGCTCCCCAGCCATACCTTGTCACAGGCTATTTGGGAGGGACCTCGGGCAGGGCAGTGCCCCCGTGCCCATCCTTGAATTGGGAGATCGCATTTGGGCTGCTGCTGATGGACGGTGCCCATGAGCCCCTGTCCTCAGGGTCTGCCCTAAGGGCTCACCGCTCCGTCCACAGCCTCGCGGAGCCCGCCAGGAGCACGCCTCTGCCGAGAGCCTGATGGAGTGCATCCGGGAGAGCTTTGCCTTCCTCAATGCTGACCTCGCCCCACAGGACCTGTCCCTGTTTGGGGGCTGCCAGGGTCCCCGGTAAGTGCACTCCCCTCCCAGCGCTGACCCCGGGGACCAGCCTCAGTTCCACGCTTCCTGTCGGCCTCCTGGCCAATGCCTTCCCTCGCCCTGGGCCCAATTTGTACCTCTCTCGTTTCCCTGTCGTGCCCCCGCCCCTGCATGCTCACTGCCTGGCGCAGACCAGACCTGTGCTGACCACTGAGTGAATGACCGTCCCCCAGCATGGTGCTGAGCTCTGAGCAATGGGCTGTTTTGTGTTTATCTTAAAAAATGACAATAAGGTGGGCGCCTGGGTGGCTCAGATGGTTAGGCGTCTGCCTTCGGCTCAGGTCATGATCCCAGGGTCCTGGGATCGAGTCCCGCATCGGGCTCTTGGGAGCCTGCTTCTCTCTCTCTCTCTCTCCCCCTCTGTCGCTCATGAATAAATAAATAAAATCTTAAAAAAAATAAAAAATAAAAAATAAATGACAATAAGGTACATGGTAGAACCTCTGTACTCTGCCTCACGTACGGGCAGCAGTGAGCAGTGACGCATGCTCCCTGGTCTTCTGCACAATTCGCCCTGACCTCTGACACCAACTTCTTCTCAGCTCAGCAGCCCCCACCTGCCCCGCTCACGCCTTGCTCCTGTACCAAATCTCAGCAGCACCAAAGAGGATACACAGTAAACTTTGTCTCCTCCTCTCATGATCCCATGGGGAGGGGGTGGCACTCCACCTGCCATCCCAGTGTCACAGTGTCCTCAGGCCTTGGGCTCAGCTCCTACCATGAAGCCAACATGGTGCCAGGCCGGCTGGCTGGCAGGGTTGCACTTACCCCTCACTGCCCCGAGCTTGGTACTCCCGTCCCCACTTTACAGATGAGTACACTGAGGCCAGGGGGGCAGGCCGGTCCAGAGACACAGAGCTAAGGATTAGTTTGAGCTTCTGACTTCAGGTCGCCCACCCTGGAAGGTGTCCCCAGCTCCCCCGTCTCCAGGGCCCACGCCAGGCCAGCACCTGTTTTGAGTTGTTGCTGGCTTTTGCTGCTTTTCCTTTTCTCTTAGTTTTCTCCTTGGTCTAACTCTATCTCCCTGGGACCTGGAGTGGGCCTCCCTGACCAGACTCTGCAAGGAGGGAGGGTTTCTTCTACCGTTGGAGGGAGCCAGGCTGCTAACTGGAATGGTCACCCGGTTCTTCTCAATCCAACTCAGGAAGGACAGGACCCCGCCCCCGCGCAAAGCGTCATCTGGGGAGCTCACAGCCGGCACCCCGGAGCTGGACAGGCTGCTCACGGTCCACCTTCACGTCTGCAAAGCTCTGCTGCAGGTGGCTAAGGGATGGGAGTGGGGGTCCTCTTTGCAAAGAACTGATCTTGATGGTGGCGGGGGAGCACGGTGCAAGGAAGAGAGACACCTCCCCCGCCCCCCCACCGAGAGCCAGTGAGACAGAGGAGGTTCCTCTGCGGAAGGTTCAGGCCTGGGTGAATAGCCACGTGGCTCTTACGCATTCCCAAGTGCTGAACCAAAAGCAGTGGCCGCGGCTCCTTCGGCTGCAGGCGCCAGAACTCCAATCCAAGCTGGCTCAACCAGAAGGAACTTTCTGGCTCACAGAATTGAAAGGCCCAGGGGTAGGCTTCGGGACCAGCTGGATCCAGGGTTTCAAATATCATCGTAACCGGGTCTCTCTCGGCTCTGCTTTCCTGCGTTGGCGGGCTCCACCTTCAGGCAGGCTAGCCCTTTCGGGTGGCAGAGGTCGCCCCTGGCAGTCACAGCCTGCATCCCACCGTCTGTCACCTGGGTGAATCAGGAATCCCCGGATGACAGTCAGAGAGCTACCGTCGGGATAGAAAGGATGGGCAGGGGGGAGGTGGGAGCTGCAGTCGTGATCACTGACCTCAGGGGCCATGTTCTGTGCTAACCTGGAGCATCGTGGGCTGCTTTCCAGAAACTGGCCTCTCCTAACCTGTCGAGGATGGTCCAGGAGTGCCTTCTGCAAGAAGCTGCGCAGCAAAAGCAGGTTCTGGAGATGCTTTCTGTGCTTGATTTTGAGAAGGTCAGCAAGGCAACATCCATTGAAGAAAGTAAGTAACTGCCCGCCACCCACGGGCCGCGCCTGTGAATGGCATGAAGCGATGGGCTTCGAAGCCCAGGGGGATCCTCGTCTTCCCTCCTGATGTCCAAAGTTCCCTGGAGCCCAGGGGGGACGTGTGGGGGTGGCGACTGGGCTGTGCTCTGACACTCAGACTGTCTCACGTGCCACCTTGGAGTCGGCGGCACACACCCTTCTGTCAGCGGCGCGGCTCTGGGCAAATGATTCACCTCTCTGGGCCTCAGCTTCCCCATCCGTATAAAGGGGAGGCCGCGGGAGAGTGTTCAGTGAGGTAATCCCCAGGCCACATTCGAGGTGCAGAGCGTGCACGCAAACGTGAACAGTACCTGTGACCCCAGCCCTGGCCCTGCCCCCCCCGCCGTGGAACCTCCCCGTGTCCATGAGCAGAGGCTAGAGGCAGTAGCTGTCCCCGCGCTGTGGGGGCTGTGGGGAGAGGCCCGGGGAAGGCAGTCACAGCTAAAGCTGCTGGTCCTCGTGGGCCGCGACAGGGAGGTGGGAAGGGAAGCTGCATGAAGTCCGGTCACCCCTCACCTCCCTGACCTCTGAGGCCTCAGAGCAGGAGGAAATCCTTGGGCCGCCTCCTTGCCGGCCCTTCCCCACCACCAGTGGGGTCCTGACCCGGGCTTTCAGTCGTTCCGCAGGCTGCTCGGAGGAAGGGGTGCCTGAAGCTGTGGAGAGGGTGCACGGAGCCCGGCAGGGTCCTGTCCTGCCCCGCCACGACGCTGCTGAGCCAGCTCAAGAGAACGTTCCTGCACAGAGTCCGAGGGAAGTACCCGGGACAGCTGGAAATAGGTACCCCCGCCCCCCACAAGCAACGCTGTGCTGAGGTCCCCCCCCCTGGGGCCTGGTTCTAGCCCTGCCTGCACCCCTGTGTCTTCATGGCACCGAGGGACGGCATCTCTCAACCTGCCCCCGAGCCACCGCCTCTCACGGGGGACGGGAAGGAGTCTGCGGACCCCCGAGGCCGCCGGCGTTAGCCGGTTGGCACATTTCTGCAGATGGACTGCGCAGCTCCCACCAGAACCTTAAAGGGGTTCAGAAAGAACGTTTACGGGAAGGTAGGCCGGAGAACGGTGTCTTCCAATGTTGGCTGGACTCTTCCTCAGAACGCAGAGCATCTCCCCTGCAGGGGCTCTGGAACTTGGGCCGCCCTGACCGGCACCTGGCTGCTACTCGGCCTGCGTGTTCCCAGGCGCCCGCGAGGCCTGGCCCGGCTCAGGGCAGGGGAGGCACCCCAAGAACGCCTGACTCGGGGCCTGCAGACCCCAGCTACCGCACGCTCCTCCTGTCAGGCCGAGGAGGCCCAGGGAGGGGCACCGACCCCGCCGCGCCTGGCGGAGAAGCGCCGAGGGGCCTGGTCTGTCTCCTCACGGCCTTCTCCCGTGTTTTGCCAGCGTGCAGGAGGCTCCTGGAGCAGGTGGTCAGCTGTGGCGGGCTGCTGCCCGGAGCCGGGCCTCCCGAGGAACAGACGGTCACCTGGTTCCAGTTCCACAGCTACCTGCAGAGGCAGAGCGTCTCTGACCTGGACAAGCATTTTGCCCAGCTCACCAAGGAAGGTAGGGGCTGGGAGGGTGCCGGCCTCCCAGCAAAAGGTCGTGAGAAGGGAGGACCATCCGTCCGCGGAGCCCTCTGTCCTGGCTCTCTGCAAGCCGGTTTCTCAGAGCCACTGCATGTTTCCCCTCCGCCTGTTCTCCGGAGAACCCAGATTTGAGGAGATGGCACGGTCAGCCCACGTAGGGGAGTTAGCTCCAAGGGAAGGTCTTACAGAGCACAGAGCGGAGGTCAGAGCTGGGTACGAGCGGGACGCGCGGCCAGCCAGCGTCCTCGAAGTAGGGGCTGAGGTGTTATTAATCTTCAGGGTGTATGTGATCCTTTGCGAGAAAGCCTTCCTAGAGGTTCCAGGAGGCCCCTGTGAAACCAATCCAGACTGAGCCCTGGTGATCACATGGGCCTGCGCTGGGCTTTGCTTCCCCATGGCTCCTGGCAGCGGCCAGACGGACCTGCAGCCATACCGCCGACTGGTCCACTTGTGTCTTCTAGTGACACTCGTCGAGGAGCTGCAGTGTGCGGGGCAGGGCAAGACGGTCCGGAAGCTGCAGGGGAAGCGGCTGGGCCAGCTCCAGCCCCTGCCCCAGACACTAAGGGCCTGGGCACTGCTCCAACTGGACGGGACCCCACGAGTGTGCAGGGCAGCTAGTGTTCGCCTGGCTGGCGCAGCCAGGAACAAGAACTTTCGGGAAAAGGTACGGCGTGAGGACGGGAGGCGGCAGCCCCCTGGCTACGTGTGTGTGAGTTGCGGGGAGGTTGGCTTTCTCTCTCAGAAAAGCACTCCAAAGGAGTGAGTGAGTGCAGCATTCGCTGCAAGATGTTTCGGTTTTTCAAAGATTTTGGTGTTTTAAGTAATCTCTATACCCGATCTAACTTACAACCCCGAGATCAAGGGTCGCATGCTTTACCGACGGAGCTGGCCAGGTGCCCCGAGACGTTCTGCTTTAGGGATGCGCCAGTGGGTGAGCACAGCCCTTTCTCCCGCCGTGGCCCTGGGCGACACCGGCCCTGCGGAGGGATCCGGGCTGGACTGGGCTGGGGCTGCCAGGCCAGCACCCAAGGATCCCACAAACCTCACGCCACCGCCTGACCCCCTCGTTCCTCTCGGTGCTTCCGACACAACATATCCTACCCATTTGGTCTGAGATGTCGCTGGCACGTAGAATGAAAGGGGCAAGACCGAGGCCTTCCTAAGGTCTCTTGGGCCACCCCATGGCCAGGTGCACTCTCACATGCTTCCTAATGAAACCTGTGCCATTTTGGGAAGCCGGTGGCAGCACTCTTCTGGCTGAGGTGGCCGAGGGGACGGGGCCATCGCTGTGACTGGGAAAGGGAGCCGAAGGGAAGAGATGCTTTGTCCTCGGGCCTCAGGCAGCAGCTCTGCTTTCGGCCTACAAGGCCGCCTCCCTCTGTACGCCCAATTCTTCGGTTGGCCCCGGCCGGACATCTGATTTCTCTGATGTCACATTTTATCTCGATTTGGGAACTATTATTAGACAAAAAGAACATTCTTCATTTTGATTACCATCAGCCCAGGGACCAGTGTTTTTAGAGATAAACCAAATACTGCAGCAGACACCCCAAGACTGGGTGCACCTGGCCCAAAGATGAATAGATCAGGGCCTGATTCTTGTTTAGAGAAATATAAGCGGGGCTCAACTTACAGCCAGCATTGGGAGGACTGGCCAGCGCCCCCCTCACAGAAACCTCATTCCCCAGGCTTTGCTTTTCTACACCAACGCTCTGACCGAGAACGATGCCAAACTCCAGCAGGCCGCATGTGTGGCACTAAAACACCTCAGGGTGAGTCTAACCTGTCCTCACCGGGGGCAGGGAGAAGCCCAAAGTTAGTTCATGTCAAAGTTATTCCACTGGGACCCCCCTCCCCCCAAAATTACCACCAGCACAAAAAAAAAAAAAAAAAAAAGAACAAAAAACAGCCACTGTAGAGCAGATGTCACCACCACACGAAGTGTCCCTTCGACAGCAGTCAAGGAGCGTTTGCTCTGACTCTGCCTGAACAATGAACAAGCAGGTGGCCCCAGACACTCACTTCTGAGGCCTTGGACTCCTATGTTGTAATATCCTCAATTTCTAAAAGCACCATCAGCTCGTTGTAGGGAAAAAAAGGTGTAAAATACAGAAATGTGTAAGTTATCCATCATCCTAATAACTTAGCAGAAAGTACTGTTGGCATTTTGCTGTATTTCTTTTGTTTGTGGGTGTGGGGGGGCGTTTAAAATTGTTGATCGTGCTAAATACAATTTAAAAGTAGTGAGTGAAACAGGAACTCTTAGTGGCAGGCTGGCAGCGCTTTCCAAGTCTCGAAGAGGCCGTCTTAAGTAAACGGACTCCCCCACTCTCGTGTGGTAGAAAATTGAGGTTCATCATCCATTTTTTATTATAAATAGTGTCATTATGAGCATCTTTGTGCACCAAGCCTTTAAAAAAAATATATGGAGTTCTGAATGATGTCCTTAGGCTGAACTCTCCGAAGCGTGACTCCAGGCCAGAGAATATGAAACTTCTGGAGCCTCTAGATACAGCTCAGCCACTTACATTCGCAAAAGCAGATGGGAGAGGATGTCCATCTTGCCTCCTGCATCTGGAACTCTCATTTTAGAAAAACCATTGCCAATCTGCTGGATGAAACTAGATTAAACTCACTCACCCCATTCATTCTGGAAAGAACCATAGAGAAATTCTAAGAGGACCACCTGGTTATAATCAACCAACCAGTAAGGGGGTAGGGGTGGGTGCCCTGTGGAGGAGGCTGAAGGCGCTCTGGTCCTTGGCCCTGGTGGAGAGGACCAGGGTGAGCTGTGCCCAGACCTGGGCTCTGACTGATGCTCTCGGTCTGACCAGGAGGGGACGGTCAGGAGAGCAGGGAGGAGGTAGGAAGGTCCTGAGGGAAGCAGGTCTTCCCATTTTCAAGACAGGCCTTCTAGAAGGTATCCATAAAACTCTGCCAATGGCCTGGCTCACGGGCAGGTGTCACGATGGAAAAGGTCAGGCACTTCCAATGGCACTCCTGATGAACTTGAGGCCACATAAGAAACCTGTTAAACCTTCAGAAAAGGAAGGGGCTGAGGCCCCGAAGTCCACGCCAGGGCTGGTGTCTTGCAGAGCTTATAAAAGTAGATTCCACCTGCTACTTAAAATGTTCCCTAATGGATCCTCCCCTCCCCCCCCCAACAGGGCATCGAAAGCATCGATCAGATTGCCAGCCTGTGCCAGTCTGACCTGGAGGCCGTGAGAACAACAGCCCGGGAGGCCACGCTGTCGTTTGGTAAAGTACAGCATCAAACGCCGGGCACGGTGCAGTGGGGTGCCCCAAGGACCTCCAGGAGGTGGTGCCAGAGAGGCCACGGCCAGCACACAGGCTGGGCACTGTTAGTGACCCACTTAACCGCATTTGGCCAAGACAGGTCTCCTTCATGGTTGAGGTGGCAAGAAGTGCTTCATTTCCCTCTTAAGCTTCAGTTTATGATCCTGGGGAACGAACACCAGATGCAAGGCAGGGATACAGTTCAGCAGATTCTGTCTTGAATGTAGCGGCGAGGCACTGGGTCCACGCGAGGGGCCGGCAGGAGCTCCCCCAATGCTCCCCGCCTCTGCCCCTTACAGCAGCACCCCAGACCCATGTGTCAGTCAGCACTAAGGCCACCTTTGCTCCCCAGAGCAGGCACACCGAGGTGGGGGGACAATCCAGTGACAGATCACCTTCATATTTCAGGTGAGAAAGGACGCTTAGCTTTTGAGAAGATGGACAAACTCTACTTGGAACGAAGAGAAGAGGCCTTTTGCCAGGAGGCGGATGTTGAAATCACGGTATTTTAAGCCTCGGCCGATGAGTTCCAATGTGGCATCTTTGTCTTCGCTCCTGCCCCGCCCTGACACAGGGGCTGAGTTTGGGGTGGGGGAACGCTCTGTGCTCCCCGCTAAGTGTGAGCTGGCCCGAGCTGCTTCCTCCGTCTCCAGACCAGTTACAAAGGCCAGGGGCACAAATGAGGCCTTTCGTACCAGAGCGGAAGGGGCCGCACAGCACTTTGAGGGCTGTAGGACTTCAATCACACGATCAGCTTTTGCTTCTGAGAATCTGACCTTCCCCAGCCAGCTGCACTACCAAGGGGCCACGGCCAGGCCAGATGAGGCCCGCAGCGAAAAGCTCCAAGAGGAACGCGCGGCACTTGGGGTCTCCCTGCGGGTTCTCGTTCCGTGAGGACTGGGAGTGAACTGGCAAGCAGGCTGACTGCTCTTGCGGAGGAGGACGCCGCGGGTCATGTCGGCAGCAGCAAGCCGTCCCCTTGGCAAGCTGGGGACGGTGGGAAGGCACGCAGCCAGGGTTTCACGATTCAGGCTCTTAACCCGAGCTACAGCCCAAATGCCACCGCAGAGCCTGCTGACCACGGACCTTATTCCCCCGGCCGAGAAACCCTGCATGTCATGTCAGGAAGAGCGTTCACTTTGACCTCACTCATCAACATGGAATGAAACTTCTGAAGCAAGTCAACATAAGGCCTACTAAATAAACTGCTTCGGAAGTCCTAAGCTGGTTTGAAAAAAGATTTCACTGAAGGAACATGTTTAAAGAAAGAAAATTCATTTCCTATTTAAATCTATTAAAAAACCTCCAACACGCCCCAAACTGTTTTTGTGTGGAGCTGTACAGACACAGCCTGGGGTATGAATGCGACACCTGACAAAGGCACTGGGGACTCTGTGACTGAAACCTTCTCATGTAAACTTCCTGTATATATTCTGTGCTTTTTGGTTGAACTTAGTATTTATTTGCCTTGTCCCTAAATTTGATTTTCTGAAATTTCGATTAAAACGATTTTTATGGGTGTTTCCCCTTACCTGAAAAAAGTAGAGAGCAGTGGTTGTTTCCCCAAACCCCCCCGGGGAGGGAAAGAGGGGCCCCTCCCAGCCCGGAGGCGGGCTCCCCGACACGCAGCTCTAACGGAGGGCAGCCCTGCTGCCTCAGTGCCCTTGGCACTCCCCGTGCCGGCGGAAGGCTCCCGAGTGCCCATTCCCGCAGATCCGAAGCAGCACGGCCCCTCCTTGTCTAGCCCTTGGCCTCATCTGATTTCTGCACCAAAGTTCCGAGTTCAGCGATGTTTTTTTTCCCCCCACACTGGCATTCTACCTCTTCGTGAAAGCTTAGATGCCATTTTTGTACCTGAAACCAAGACTGAAGTGACAGTGGGTGTGGCACCACCGTCCCGTGGCCACATGACCACAGCCCGTGTTTACTCCCCAGTTCTGTGGATCCTGCCAGGAGGCCCAGCGGCCAGTCATACAACCCTGGAGGATATAAGGGAATTTTTTGTACTGTTTTTGCAACATTTTATAAATCCGAAATTATTTCAGAGCAAAAAGTCAACCGATCACTTTAGAGAAGATTAACGGCGTACAAGGAAGGAAGACTAGGTGACTTTTTTTTATCCCATCCTTTCTCCGTCCAGCGTGGCTCGACAGAGGTACTGAGAAGTGGTGACCGTGGGTCTCACGGGCAGCCGGCCAGGGACACATTCTGAGCAGCCCTCTAAGTAACCTGAGTAGGTTTGCTAAGGCCACCCAGGGCCCTGGACATTCAGAAGGTGGGTTCTGTCGTCATCCAAGAAGCTGGGTTGAGGCCGGAAGCGTCAGTAAACTGACCGGGAAGGGAACGGTCCCCCAGCTCAAAGGCAAGCACAACCCCAGGAGACCGCAGTAACCCTTGGCCGCCTGACCGACACGACAGCACCTGCTTCTTGGTGGTGGCGGCGGCAAGAAACAGGAGGTACCCGTCCTTTAGGCCCATTAAACAAAGGCATGAGAGGCACCCCAAATCCATGTTCTTTAGAAAAAAAATTTTATTGTTGCAACTAAAATGCAAACCCATCATTTATATGGCAAGTTGGAAATCTGTACAGTTTGACAGTTCTGTGAGGTCACAGAAGACCCTGAGACGCGCCCCCCACCCCCCCATCATGCATCCGTGTATACACACACCTGAAAAGGTATTCTACCAAAACACCTCACTTTTTTTGTGTGTTTTTATTTTTGTAAAAATGGTTTATTCCACGGCCATTATAAAAAATAATGACCTGATGAGTAAATATCGGCTTAAGGCATAGAGCAGAGCAGCTCACTACTTCTCTAACATACGTGTAACGAGATGGAGAGCCATCTGTTTTCCAAGGATAGGAGGTTAAACCAGTATATCCATTCTGAAAGGCTACTATATATACACACCCAAACTACTACATACATATACAGGACTTCAAAAAACAAACAAACAAGCCCAACTCAAAAATGCTTACAGCCTGGCACCTCAGCCTCATCCACACCTCACCAAGGCTCTGCAGAGCGATGCCTCAAACGTTCCCACCACAGAATTTCTCTGCACGGGCTTCTAACACGTGAAAGGCAAAATGTGAAAATGCTGGCAAAAGAGCAGCTCGTGAGCTACAGCTGCCTTGTTTTTTGTTTTGTTTTTCTTGTTAAAAAAGCCACTTAACGTGGAGGTCTCAAGTTCCCTTGCAGGAAGAGTCGTGAGCACCATCAGTCCCCAGGATTCAAGGGCGGGGGCAGACGTGGCTCTCAGCAAGGCCCCCGGAACGGGGCGACGGCAGGTGGACTCCGAGGGACTGTCACCCAGATTGCTTCAGGACGTGTGGTTGGTTTCCAACAGTTGCCTTGGTTCCAAATCACCGTCTGCTCGAGAGGAGTGTGAACCTCTGAACGTGGAGGCTGATCCCCAAGGTATTGGGTGGGGGGGAACCCTGCGTGCCTAAATGTCCAGAGCGTGAGGTGTGACTATGGCTTCCCATACCCTTGGAATGTCTGAGTTACAGTGCGACCCGGCTGGACAAGGCCAGGCCGGGTCTCACCAGGAAGTCACCAGAGTGTCATGCCAGGAATTCGGCAAATATCTCTTACTGGAAAACATCACTCCATTGCTGAATGGCGATGATTTTAGCAAGTCTTAGGAACCACAGCCATGGAATGATCAGATCATGCAAAGGTAGATTGGACTTGTACATGGGGCACATTAATAAGCAGAGAGCGAAGTATTTCAAGCACGTGGTATTTGATGGGGACACAAGACGACCGTACATGCATTCTAATACACACAGGGAAAGCAGTGATTGAGAACAAGATTCTACCAGATAACCGGGAGGGGGTAACTGGGACAAAGTTATCTCACATCATGTATCTTAAATATCCAAATGTTCAGTATATATTATCCCATGTTCTATAAACATATGCCAAACCTCTGCTCACCTTACCCACAATGTCACGAAATAACAACTGCTTACAACCGTCCTCCTTCCTAGTACTGGTCTGACGCAGCAGGCTCATGGCAAAGTCTTACGTTCCCAGCACTACCTGAGGGTTTATTATTGTACTTTTTGATAAAGCCCTTGATGCAAGGCTAACATCAAAAATTTTTAATACATTATTGGTTTAAGAAAATGCTAGTGCACTATGGACGCCTTTGGGGAAAAAAACAAAAACAAAAAAATAAATATGGAGTGGAGAGGCTCACTGCACACAGTCTCCGTTGGAGGTCCAGGGGGAGGACACCGTGTGCTGCCCACCCGGGATGTGCTGGGCCACACCAAGAGGGAGCGTGTGGCAGGGCGAGCCTCGCGACTTGCGCAGGCCACCAGCACCGGACTCTCCTTTGCTCTCCTCAAAAAATGGGTTGTGGATTTGGTACTCGAAGGAAAGAGAGGGGCAACAGAGTCAAAAGGAGTAAGAACCAACAGCCCGGGGCGGGTGGTTTTAGTGCAGAACAAACGTCCGTCCAGGTCACGCTGGCTACGCTGTCCTCGGCCCTCCCCTACCACGACATGCCTGCTAGGCGGGCGCGGGCTCTGCCAGCAGAGGTGGGCAGTGGGGTGGGTCAGACTATGTGCTGCTGCTGAACAGGAACTGGAATGAAACCAAACATTTTCAGATGAACCCAGCCCCCCCACCGCAGAGCCGCAGACTCCCGCACTAGCCCAACCCCCGCCCCCCTCCGGCCCCCAGCCCCTCCGGCCTCCAGCGAAGGGGGTTTCCTTTCTCTTTTACAAGAGCCGCCCTCCCCGAAAATCACCCCAAAGGAAAACCTTGTTTACATTTTGTTAAACCATCCGATGTACTCAAAGATGGTCGCTTGGAAAGAGATAAAATATTTAAAAATTTTTAAGAAGTCCTGTGAGGTGATTTCCATGACCAGAGTTTTGAGGCTAACCCTCCGTCTTCCCCTCACTTTAACAGCAACACACTTCTCACGTGTGGATTTCTACTGAAACAGCATTTATATTCCAAAGAAAGTGGAAATTGTTCCTTCTGGACCTCAATGGCAGGGTGAGAAGCTGGTGGCCACCCTGCCGTGACCTTGGACCCCAAGGCAGGGGCCTTGAGGAACCCCATTTGTGGAGGTGGGGGGATGAGGGAGGGGCCTGACCCAGACAGCTGGAAGGAGAAGGGACCGATGGAGAAATGAGCAATGGGAAACCGGTGGGACCGGTGGGGACACCCTGAGCAAAAGCAGAAGCTGGGCTTTGTTTTCTAGAGGTGGCCTTTTGTTGTTTCTCTTCTAAAAACGGGAAAGCTCGCAGGCACTGTCCGAGCTCAGTACGCGCACAGCAGAGGAAGCGACTGAGCAAGACCGTGCCCTAAACCCTTAAACCCTCTTCTCCAAAGGAGTTTACATTCGTAAAAGCATGGGAATCTTTCCCTGGGAAATCAAATATAAACTGTGTATCTGGTGACACCTCCTAAGGGTACAAGAAAGTTTCATAAGTGCCTAGTCTTTTTTTTCCAGAAATAATAAAAGCTGCTTTTTATAAAGGTTAAAAACAACAATGTGTTGTAATTCTATTATTTTTTTTTCAAAAACAAATAACAATAACCAAAAAAAAAAAAGAGAGAGAGAGAGAGAGATAGAGAGAGAGAGACACATATTTGGCATTTTCTCTACTTACTCCTGAATAGGTTAAGGCCCTGAGATTAGACTCTCGTATAGTCTTGGGACCACAGGGCTCCTTAAAACCCCAGTGCATCAATCCTCAATTCTCTCTTGTTAGCCCTTCACAGTTCCAGACTTTAAAAACTTTTGCTCTGTTTCTTCTGAGACTGGCTCAGATCCTTCCACAGCACTGAATGCTAACGCCGGGCTGTCGGCCAGTGCTTTCTGTACACGCGGTCCTGCCAGCACGTCCGTCAGTGAAAACATACCCTGTAGCAGAGGTACGCGCCGGCCGTCAGGACCGTGGCCATGCACATGTTGACCAGGAAGGGCTTCCAGGGAGTCAGCGCCTGGTCCTGCTCCTCCTTGGGTGGCGAGGGCTCCCCCTGGGCAGGATCTGCCCCCACGGCCCGCCTTCTGACTTCAGTGTCTGGACTCGTGCTGCGGGAGGCGAGGGACAGAGACGGGTTACTCAGTCTGGGGAAGACGGCGGCAAGGACACTACGACGATGGTTGGAATTCCAGGAAAAAACGAGCCACCTGTAAACAGACCTCGGCAATACGGACACTGACTGACCTGAAGCCCACCTGTCAGACCTTCCCTCCCGCCCCACCCCACCGAGACCCAGGAGGCCCCCACAGCCAGGGTATGGTTCTGGAGACTCTCGTGGCCTCGCTGGTGATGGAGGGCGAGTAGGACTCTGCTGACAAATACAGGCGCTGGGGCAAAGGTAGGTGCTAATTTGCCCTGGGGTTTGCTTGGAGAACGTTCCCCTTCAGATCAGGGAAGGCAATGGTGTGGCCCACAAGCTACCACTCCCTCCCCAGGCCCCCTACACAGGAGCCTTTGCTGCTGCTGACGGGAGGACATCACGCATGCCCTCTGTCCCTCAGCCCGCCCTGTCCCAGGCTTGAGGCCCCAGCATCAATCCGACCCCGCCAGCAGGACAGTTTCTCAGGCCTCCTGCGTACAGTGGACTGGCTGCCCTCCTGGTGGCGGGCCAGAGCGCCCCGCGGAGACCATCTGCACTGTGTTCTCATTCCAGGCCTGTCTCAGGAGAGGCTGAGGCCCTTCCTCTCCCCGCCACCTCCCCCAGGCCTTTCCCTCTCCCCCACCCCGCTGCCCTTGCCTCCCTCAGAGGCCCTGACCACAGGATGTCCTGCTTCTCCTATGCATCTCCACAGCCTTCCTACCCCAGCAGCACCTCGTGTGGTGGGCAGGACCACCCTGAGGCACCCCCCCCGCCCCCCGCCCCGGGAGACAGGAGGAAGCGGCACAAAGCACCTGCTTTTCGGCAGCCCGCCGTGAGGCCCAGGCTACAGGGCTGAGACCCGTGTGCATGTGGGCCCCCACTGGTGTCCAGAGGCACAACTCCACTGTTTCCTGGAATTCTCTGGCTTTTAGCTTCCCTGATCCACACTCCCCTCCTCACCACCTTCGCACACACACTGAAAAGCACCCCTCTCTCCACCGCAGTCTTAGCGAATATAGAACAGAACACATGACGGACTGGACACCAGTCACATACCAGCTCTCACCTCTCTCACCCTCAACTCTTGGCAGGCCCTCAGACGGAGCACGCTGGCTCGCCCTGCGAACATCACCAGAGGCCCTGGGAAGCTAGGCGTGTCTCCCTGGGGGACTGTCACTGAGCTACTGCCGAGCACATCACCTGGCACGTGCTCTGGGAGGCCCCACTGGACAAGTCTCTCTCAAGCCCTAGAGCCAGATGTAATGTTGCTGTGATAGGGACCCAGTTGCATGAATGGCCCTGGTGACTTAAGTGCATGGGTCAGGACTGGGGCCTGGCACTGAGCATTCAGCAAGGTGCCCACGTAAGGTTCTGATGGTCAGTGTAGCCAAAGGACCACTCAGGCACACACCATGTATAACCTGCTTTCTTGAGTATTACAATTCCACTGTCTAGCCACATTCATGCATTCCCGATCCTATCCTTTAACAGCGCCAAAATATCCCAAGGTAGGGAGAAAGCATGATTTACCCAACCCCTAGATATATAACCGGCTCATCTCTCATTTTTCACCATTCCAAATGATGCCTCAACGAATACCTCTACCTATAGATCTCTTTGGACACCCGTTCGCAAACTGCTGCAAACCAAATTTCTAGATGTGTACAAATGCTGGGTCAAAGCACGCGCTCATCCGGAAGGCAGGAACCAAGGGCACTGTCTCCACAGGCTCAGGCTCAGGCTCCCTCCCATTCATTCTTCATGCTTCCACGCGTCAGGCAGGCAGCCTTCCTTGAGCACCCCGGGAAGGCGGAGCATCTCCTCTGGAAGGCTGACACCGCAGGGTGCGCTTCCATCTCCTGACCGGCCACAGGCTCTCATCCATACCCCACTGCCCCTGCCCCAACAAGATGGTCTAGAATGCAGACCAGGGGCCATGTTCTAGTGGACTATTTCACGTGCATCAATAGGTGCTCAATAATCTTTGCTAAATGGCATTAAGTTAATCAAGACTGCACAAAAAGGTTAAACTCCCAGAAGGACCATTCTGGGGGCTGAAAGTACATGCTCTAACCTGGATAGCATGTTTCAGGACTGGCTGGAAGCCAGGGGCAGGGCATGGTCATCTCGGCGGGGCTCGGTTACATGAATCCCTGATTCCAACGGGCACCACAAGGTGGTGCTAGAACCCCACTGAAGTAGGTCCCTTGGGGGCGGGGGGTGGGGTGGGGTGGGGGGGCAACCTGTGGCCGCCTCAGATGCCCCTGGCTGTAGGAGGATGATGGTGATGGTCCAGGAGTCCCATTCCCCAAAGACACAGAGGCAATGCTTGCCAAGAGGAGGCCGTGTCCTCAGGGTTTCAATATTAACGTGTTTCTGGATCAGAAGGTCAGTCCCCCTCACCACCAAAAAGCCAGGCCCCCCTGGCCTTACCTTTCCAAGCCGCAAGGGACATTTAAGGGGGCTCTGGTTTCTTCCTTGATGGAGCAGGCTTCTTTATCCTCCCCAGTTTCGTCCTTTACCCACTGGTGGTTGGGGAAGAATTCCTTGCACTTCCCATTATGTGGCTCCAGGATTCGTTTGGGGGGCCGGGGAGGAGGGGGGACGTGTTCGGGTGGGGGCTCCAGGTCCTCATGGGAGAGCTCCTTCCATTGCTCCTAGGGAAAGCAGCAAGAGAAAAGTCCCATTAGTACTCACAGTGGGCTGATCTGTCAGGAAATCTGCTCCCCTTTAAAGTGAGTAGAGGTGAGGGGCTCTCTCTGCTTCCTGAGGCTATACAGACACGTATACTTGGAGGATGAAATCTTTTGAAAATAAAGTCTATTCTCCCTATCAATGTTCTCTACGTCAGCACATCCAAGGCAGAAATTGGATCACAACTTTCTAGCTATTTAGTCACGAAGGATAGCTATTTCTTCTGACACATGACAGAGTATTTGAACTTTTACAACTGACAGCCTCCTTCTTCAGAGACAAAAATTCAAAATCAACACACCTGGATGCAGGCAGAAGCAAGGCTTACCTGCACTGAAGAGTCTCCCATGATGAATTTGGCACCTTCGATCACAGCTAGGTAAGAGAAGCGGAGCTGGTCTGCTGTCTGGATCAGTCCCATCCGAAACTTCCTCATTTCTAACAGAACTTTCTTGATGTCGACAGAAGAAGGGTCTTTCCTCTTGTCCATCTGAAAGCCAGAGAGGAGACACCATTCAGCCAGCCCCACTCCCAAGTACAATGTGATTTTCAATGTTCTGGAAGAGTCCTCCAGTTTCTACTTGGGAAAAATCACAGTGGGGAGGCAGAATTCTAGCAAATGTGTGAAAATGCAGCAAAATCGGGACCACTAGAGCACAGGGGTAAGAGTACGAGAAAGGAATTCTTTGGGTCTTCCTGATTCCACATTCCACTTAAGAACATCCCTCTGAACAAAGCTACTTAGCTTAGAGCTACTTTCACAGGAGGCAAATTGTTAAAAATTGAAGATCCTGGCTAGTTTACTGCAGAGACAATGACAGAGAAGCTGGGGGCAGGCCGGGGGTGGGGGGGGCGGCGCTAAAATGGGCTTCCTTCTCTTCCCGGGGCCTCCAGGGTCCTCCTTACCAGCAAGAGGCAGGTGTCAGCCAGACAGAAGGTCCCCGACCTGCCGATGCCGGCACTGCAGTGCACCACGACAGGGCCGTGCTCTGTGCTCAGTGACCCCGACTCACGAACTTTAAAAAGAAAGTTCAGGAATGAAGCTGGCGATTCGGGGACTCCAAAGTCAGGCCACGTGGTATAGTGGAAATGTAAGATCTCTCGAGTTTCTTGAGACTGAAAGAAAGAAAGAAAGAAAAAAAAAAACCCCCAACAACTCATGATGATTCTAAGAGAATCATCTGTACAGAAATCACTGCTTCCATGCAAGCACCAAGTGTACCCCCCAATCTAACTCGAAGAACAGCTTCCCTTCTCAGAGTTCTTTCCGTCTACTCACCCAGCCAAGAAATACCAAGCACTGGGGTGCCCGACACTAGACCCGGAGGCTGCTCCCGCCTCGACTTCCCTTCCTTTAGCGTGGAAACGTTCTCGCCCGCATCTCTCCTCCGGTGCCCCATCCCCTCTGCTGTCTTCATGGTTACAAGTGATTTCTCCCCATCCCACAAGTCACAATGACGCCGCGTGGGCGCCCACGACAATCCTGTCCTAAAGCACCGTAAGGTTTCCCATGAACGAGTAAAACACGTAACTGCATGTGTGTGGCACCAGCTCTGGGTAACTCAGGGCCTTACAAGACTATCTGGAAGTCTCAGAGGATTGTCGTTTTAGAGAAAAAACCAACTCAGTCTCCAAAGACTGGTAGCTGTCAGGTGCGGCTCGATACGCAGCTGAAGAGGAGGGAGTCAACGCCAGCCCCGCCGGCCCCGCGGCGTCCCAGCGCTGGACTCAGCAGCTCCCTGAATTCGCACATCGCCCCCGCAAGGCCTGTATTCCCATATTCCCATTTTCTCGACTAGGAAACTGAGGCTCGGAGGCCAACCCTCCATGAAGTGAGGAAACAGGAGTCAAAATCTAAGTTTGCCTGACTCCAGAGCCCATGTTCAGAGCCTGCTGCAGAAACTTCCGAGATGAGGGCTCTGGCCCTTGTCCCTGACCTTTTCTCCCCCTGGCCCCGTCTGCTCCCAGTGGAACAGAATGAAGAATGGCCTCTGGTGCCATTTCCAGCTCTGCTCCTTCCTCTGAACCTATGAAGAGTCTAGAAGCCTGCGTACCAACAATGCCTCCCTTCACTTAGCAAAATGTCCACAACGTGCCTACCACGTGCCAGCCAACGTGCCTGGCAGCATAAGGTAAAGACACTGCCCTTGCCCTCCCAGAGCTTACAGCTTTAGTTCTAACAACCTCCCTGGGCCCAGGGTGATGAAAACTTGCCGAAGAGCCTACGATAAACACCAACGACTTAACATCAGCAAAGAATACACGTACGGAACCCTGCACCAGCTCTGACACACGGGTACCCTTCTGCAGAACTGGAAGAATCTGCAGATGACATTAGGATCATTTATAGAACCACCCGGGGCAATGCCATTTTTTCCTCCCTAGAAAATGGTCTCCTTGTATGGCTTAAAATGAGAGATGCCCTTTCTCTTTTTCAGGGAAAGAAAAACACTTAAAAATAGATTTTTAAAATGAAGTAAGAAAATATACCAAAAGCAAGTTCCTTCTTTAATCATTAAAAAGGTGTAGATCATCTCCTGTTGACACCCTCCTTCACAGCTGCCCACCTCTTTCTCAAGGAATTTGTTCTAAATCTCTGCTTGAAGAGATACACCTCTGAGAAAAGAATTTTTAAGAACAAAGTCTGTTAGAGCAAACAGACCTTCCCAACATCAAAACCTCCACGCTGCGGCAGGTGACCCGCCATGCAAACAGCACGAGCCCCTTCTGCTCCATCTGAATTCCATTTCCCCTCAACAAACGGGAGAAATTTTCTCAAAGTTTACCAGAAGTCCCTCTTAATGTCAGGCTTGAAAATTTTAAAAAGCATGAAAAAGAACGTCTATGACATAATCCTCCAGGCACATTCCACCACGCTGCCAACATTATTCCTGAAAATCCTCCGTCAAGCCCTCCATAAATCACAGCCTCAGAGGCTGGGTGTGGGGCTGCCGCAGGCTCAGGCTGCAGAACGCTCGCATGGAGAAGAGTCGGCGCGGGCTCAGCAGCACCACTACATTCCACAAAAAGCCACGCAAAGCCACGCGACTTACTTTCCTCTGCTTCGTGGTAACCGGCGCTAAGTTCTAGATCTTACTTCAGTGAGGAATTCAACAACAGGAGTCATGTGGACTGGAAAGCAGTCAGCTGAAAACTAACACGTGAGCAGAACTCAGGCGGAGCCCCCCAGCAAGCCCCCACCCAAGTCTGCACTGCTCCCGCTTTCCCTCCAGTCTGGGTAGGGACTGCCCTGGATAATCCGGTCACTTCAACCCCACAGAACCTGCTAACCCTTCCCGGCACGTGCTCTAACATTTCGCTATATTCCCTTCTGAACCCTTACAAAAGCCCCATCTGAAAGTGGAGGAAACTGAGACGTGGTGAGATGTCATGCCCCTCCCCAAAGTCTGACAGTCTGACATGGTGGGGCCAGGAATCCAGCCCAGGGAGTGGGCCAGAAGGGAGTGGCGAGAGCCATGGACAACGCCGTCCCCAGGAGCTGCCGGGAGCTCCCTCCTGCTGCTGCCAGCTCTGGCATAGGGTCCTTCGGGTGATGGCTCCTGGTGAATTATTTCGAATCCCCAAGGGCAGGGTCTTCTGTGGTACTGCTTCTTAGAGCACTGTGCCTTGACCTGTTCCAAGACCATCTTCCAATGAGAGCTAGCAGCTGGTGTTAGAAGTTCTTCCCATGACAAACAAGCCCAAGACCTCACTTAGAAAACGTATACAGACTATGACCTTGGGAGTCAGTCCCAGAAGGGCCCTTCTTCCCTCACTTTAAGCTAAAGAGACTGTGGACAAGTAAAGAGGCAGCGGCTGCTATGTAATCTGCGGCCACCACTTCAGTCCCTCTGTAGTTGCAAAGACAGGAACAGAGAGAAGTTTTAGGTGAGAAAGTCCCTTTTCCCTAGAAACTGTGATGAACTAGTGTTACAGTTCAGGGAGAGAGTTCTGTGGAGGAGGGAACTGAGGACACCCCTGGACACCCCCGCCCCGCCCCCAGCTCCCCTGGTATATAAGCGGGTAAGCTCTGCTTTCCACAGGGCTAAGACCACATCTTGCTCAGAGTGTACAAAACTCAGAAAAACTGGCATTAGGTAATATCACCCAAGTAGAAAGACCTCTCAAGCAGCGGTAGTGGGAAGGATGAAGTATGTGTCATACTCACTGTGAGGTTTTCCAATTCTAGCTGCCGTACTGTGTAATACGACTTAATATCTTCAGAGATCAAGGTTAATTTCAAATTTGTGTCTTCAAAGATCATTTCTTTTTCTTCTTTTTGTGGCCAGTACTGCGCACATTTTAACTAGGAGAGAAAATGATGAATTATTATAAGCAACGGACTGTTTTTCCCATGAAGAGAGGTATGGAGTACCTTCCAGGAGCTTCAGGACAATCCAAAGGAAAACCAGGGGTTTTCTGACCTTGGAAGTCACCATCAGCATAACCTACCTGCCTCTTGGGGAGATGGGGGGAGGGGGTTAAGACAGAGGGCTAGTTGGGCAAAGAGGGCTCAGACCTCCAAACACAGCTGCTCCCCAAACAAGGAGGTGCTTCAGGGGTCTGGCCCTTCTGGACCATCTACGAGGTGAAGACAGACTGTACCAAAGCTTTAGTCTCTCAGACTACTTTGTGGAGCCATTTCAAAGATTACCAAGCACCAGATTAGTGCTGCTGGCACAATGCAGACCTCTTACCCAAGGGGAACAGAACCCAGTCTAGAAGAGACTGTGGGACACTGTGAACAGGCTGAAGGGCTATAACTGAATGTTTAGAGAAGATGTGGAGAGGGGCTCCTCCAAGGCTTGGGGTCACCTGCTGCCCCATCCCACCCTTTCATTCTGGTTGGCTCAGTCCCAAAGAATCCTTTTGATTTCCTAGTTTAATGATTTCAGGAACTATTTGATGGTCTTCATTTAAATACAGCTCATTAACTTTTTCTTCAAAGCAAGCAAACTCCCAAAGATTTGGTTTCACTTAGAGTTTAAGAAAGAAAATTTGACTCAAATTTAGTGGCATACTTTGAGTCAAGTTTCTATACCAGACCTTTTCTGTTTGGTAATGAACATTTTGGACCAAAACAGCAGGTAGATGGGGGCTAAGCTGTAAGGTCGACGAACCAGAGGGTCATACGATGTGCCTAGACAGAGGGAATCCCAAAGACATTATGATTTCCATCACATGAAATTATCGAACTAGCTCTTTGGGAAATGGTATAAATTCAAGCCCACTGCAACTGAACATGCACTGGCCCACCAGCACCCCCTCTGAGGCACAGGACAAGCTGCCTGAAATGCCACAGTAGGTGGAGGGAGCCCCTCCAGGCCCAGCCTCTTTCTGTTAGAAGAGATGGTTGGTGCAGATCAGTGACAAGGGGGCGTAACAGCAGTAAACACTATGGATGTGCTGTGGGAATCCAGAAGAGGCAAAAGTTCCAGGCTGGCTGAGGTTACAGGCAAGCGATCAGAGAAAACCCTATGGAAGGAGTGGCCTCTGTCATGATCCCAGGGTCCTGGGATCGAGCTCCACGCATCAGGCGGGGAGTCTGCTTCTCCCTCTCCCTCTGCTCTCCCTCACCGCGTGCTCTCTCTCTCTCAAATAAATAAAACCTTAAGAAAAAAAAAAAAGATGTGGCCTCTGACAGAGGCATGCTCGGACGGATGACGAGGATTTCCCAGTGACTGCCCAGAAGCCGGTCTCAGAGGAGCAGCAGGGAGCAGGGCCAAGGGAAGACCAGACCACGGCGACTCTGGCGGCAGGCCCAGAACCCGGTGTCACCTGGGCAGTGAAGAACCAGGAGGCTCCTGAGCAGAGCGAAGACAGAATCAGGAAGGCCCACCAGTCCTGCCCTAATGAAGCTGGCCGCTACCCAAAAAACAAGAGAAAAAGAAGAAACAAACCAAGAAACACCAGACTGGGATGCGGACATAGCATCAGACGTCATGGTCCTGAAACAGAAGGCCAACAGGGCCTGGACCGGGCCTGTTTGAAAGACTGGGCCAGTTTCACCCACATCCCCTCCTCACACCACTAAGGAGGTGCCAAAGATGAACCCCTGGAACAGGACCAACCTGTCAGCATCAAAGCAATTCTGCCCCTCGGAACCCGAAAGCATCAATGACATGGCAAGGTCCCCTCCTGAGCCAAAGGGGGTGGGGCAGCTGGAAGGGAGACTTGAGTAGAGGCTTCAAGGATGCACTTCTTCTCCAGTAATCAGACCCGTGCAATTCCTGAAGACCCCAGAGGCAGAGAGACTGCCCTGGTGGGTTCCACGGCACGTGTGCTGGAGCGTGCCCCCAACGCCCTGAGCGGAGAAGCAGAAACCCAGGACGGCTGGGTGCTACCAAAGAAGAGGCCAGTGCTTTCGGGTCTCACGGGCAGGGAAGAAGAGTCTTTGACATCTCACCTCCACACAGCAAACACTCATTTTCAAAACCGAATATAAAGCTCAGTAAGTCTCCGTGATCTGGGTAAAGACCAAGACTCTGGAACTCCACTAGTGCGCAACTCTGGCGCACACTAAGTGTCAATCCAGCAGTATTTATTTTTAAGAGCTCTCAGGCATCCACAGTAACATGCCGTGCTCTGCTTGCTGTCATTTCCTGTAGACATTTCTGTTTTAACACACAAAATACAACAAAACAATAAGCTTAAGAGCACTACTTGCTGCTATTCTATTAAACTGATCCATCCCACCCTGAGAAGGAGATTTATTTTATTAGAAAGCAGTTCTTCACCAGAAATCAAATTGTGCCACATCCTGGGTCAGCAGCAAACGGCGGCGCTGATGTGCTGGGTGCCTGCCACAGCCACCCTTCCCACCTCGAAGCTCGATGTGAGAGAGAGGCCTTGGGGCCTTCCAAAACAGCGAGGCAATCTTCAGAAAAATCCATGAATGTCACCTGGGGTGACCCTGTGATGCAGGATTTGGCTTTCCCAAGGAACGATGAACCAGAGAGCTGACTAAGCAAATGGGTGAACCCTGACGTTCCCACGACACAAATCCAGAGGCTCACCGTGCACAAAAGTACGGAAGTCAAACAGCACCTTTAGTCAGGGGTTTGGGAGAGAGATACAGGTGATGTTTCTGGTTAAACATCGCCTTGTTTATTTCTGCTGCCTAAACAACAATCCCCGCCCTTACACACTAACACGCTCTTCATGGACATGTCTCAACTCAATCTTTAACTCGAACCCGCAAGAACTTGGGCTACTTGGATGAGCCCCGTCTAACACACATAATCATTTTCTGCACCACTGTTTTCCAGGAAGCACATGGTCCCAAAAGAGTAACAGGCAGGTCTGCCAAAAGTAAGAGGGGCACATCCTATACTATTCAGAGAAGGAAGGAAACCAGAAAACAAATATGCACTGCATGGAAACGCTCTGCAAGCTGGTTCTTACCACGGGCTGTATGCATAGTTTGTAATTAGATCAGCTGAGCAAATAAGACACTGCGACTTCTTAGAATTTTCCCCAGTCAGCTCTAATGGGGATGACAATGGTGATGCCGAATTGAAATTGCTGATCCCAAGAAACTTTAAGAATCTCAAACCACTCGCTGCTTTCCACGCCAGTGCGCATGCCTGAATGACCCTGAGCAGGAAGAGTAGTTACACAGGAAAACAGAGACTACTGTCACATGATCACAGTAAACTACGTGAAAACCAACTAGCCAGGTTTCCCTTTTTTTTTTTTTTTTTAAATGGCCAAGGGGAAAAGCTGTCCATTTACAGTCAGCCTTGGATGGGAGACAACCAAGAGCAGGCCTGGGGGCCAGCACGCAGCTAGAGGGTCAGGACAGCACCCTCACTAGACTGGGCCAACGGCAGAGGAGTTTCACGCAAATTTAGGAACAATCAAGTAAAAAGGAAATGCTACCATACCCACTGATTTCTGAATAAATGACTCGATTTAAAATTCCCAAACCCTCCACACCATCTACAACAGTGGTTCTCAACGGGGGCAATTTTGTGTCCCAGGGGACCCTGGACAATGTCTGGAGACATTTTTGATGGCCACACGTGGGGGTGGGTGTGTTAGCGGCCCCCCTGTGGGCAGCGCCGAGGCTCCGAGACCCCAATCGCTCACCAGTGCCGAACATGTGCACAGGCCACCATGTCTGTCTCACTTTCCCTTGCAGAGAGTGTGTGCTGTGGGAACCTAAAGTTTGTTTCTGTACTCAAAATTGCTGACAAGAGTGGTGACAGGTGGGATCGCATTTGTAACTTCACATTTTACTAATCAAGCCACTGAAGCAGAAATCATCAAAACCCACTTTCACTGAAAAAAATTTTCTCAGAAACATTATTTCATTCTTTGAACACTCAGGTAAGCTCTTCATCTGTTATTATCAAGCAAAGAAAAGCTTTAAGAAAGGGGGGCTGAGGCAAAACCCCTGATTTTAAACTTGTGCTGTCGTCAGAGGACCATGTGCCGTGACTACGACTGCCGCTGGGGGGCTTTGCGGTGGGTGCTTCCCGGTTCACCACGGACGTTTCCTTCGATGTGTTACTTCTGTGCACTTGCGTTTGTTCCCTCCAGGGCCGTGACTGTGCTTTCTTTGGAGGGGCGGCTTCTCTGGAGCCTGCATGCTGTCCTGGCGAGCCCAGTCCCAGGCGGCCAGGCCAGCTGCAACAGCAGTGGCTTGGCTGAGCCTGAGCGTCGTGCCAGCACCTGGCAAGGCCCAGGCACACGCAGTTCTCTGTGCCTGGGGTGCCCGCTCCTCCTGATGTCCAATTCCTCAGCCCGTCCCAGGGCCTCCCCCGCTCTGAGGCTGGAGAGCCCCCAGTGTGCTGGCCGTGGCAGGAGAGGAGGGAAGGAGCCCGGGTAGCAGGGGTGTGGCGTCTATTCGCTCCGTCGCTGCCACACTGTGCCCTGCACACCACGTCGCCTTCCCTGGGAGACAGGCCTCCAACAGGCAATCTGCAGAGCGAGGGGGTGGAGGGAGCACGGGCGGTGGCTGATGCGAGGGAAGCACCTGGAGATACCTGCCAGAGAGCTGGGGCTGGGCGGGGACTCAGATTCTGTTAGGCCAGAGAACCTGGCAAGAAACTAACAGCAGAAGCGTGTTCTGGCTGGAGTCTGGAGATGGAGGTGGGAAGTCGGGGTCCAAGTTAACTTGGTCCTGTAGCCACATTATGCACATCCCCGGAGGCTGTGGGGGTCACACAAGGGTTTTCGGCTCGGAAGCGGTGTGGTGACACTTGGGTTTCAAAAGACCGTTCTGGAAACCGGGGGTAGGGTCCCCGGAAGAGAGCAAGTGGAGAGGCCACGGCGGCGACCGCAGGGACAGATGCGCGGAGGGTAATGCCTGAATCATCACGCACCTCCAGCTCACAAGCTATCCTGGGGGATGTTCAGAGAGTTGCAGAGAACTTGGGAGAAATGCTAACACAAATCCTGCTGGAAACACACAGGCAGACAGCATCCACGTGAAAGAGGCGGCCGGGAGCCAGGCGTCTGCGTATTTGACAGAGGCGAATCCCGAATGCGGCCACTGCCACAGCTCCCTAACGGAACAGCAGAACACACACGGGCACTCTGGAGAGGGACCGACTCGGGGTGGCGGGGGTGGAGGTCCAGGGCAACTGGACTTTCCCCCTCTTTTTAATTCATTTGCTTTTCTGACGAATAAACTTGTTATTTATATAATGCTTCTTTAAATTTTTCTAATAAAGAAGATATCACGTAAAAGAAATATAAAAGCAATGTAAAGAAATAAACTCAGACAAAAATGTCAACTTCACGGACTGGGACACACATGGACGGTGAGGTAAACAGGAGATAAATCCATGACTTACCGATCCTTTCTCCATCACTCTGTTGAGCATGACAACGCCCCTGCTTTTCTGCTCCCACACCATCTCCCAAAAGTGACCACACGTGTTAGGCAAAGGGCCCTGCAAATACACAATCCACAAAGCGTATACCATTTTACACACCGACACGCTCCAATGCGAGCACACCACTGGCGGTTGGTAGACGACAGTGCCCTTCGGCGGAGTGGTGGCTGGGGCTGGGGCTGGGACAGGGACCGCCCTCCTCCCCGCCCAGTGGTCAGTAACCTCAATTCTCTTTTCTATCACGCGGTGAAAGGTTATTTCTGCCTCGCAGGGCTGGTTCGGGGCTGACCCACAGAGGAGAGAAAAGGCTGATTCTGCTCTCTGGTGTGAGATGACTGGGGGAGGGGCTCCACCGAGGTCCCTCTGGAGTGTGGGTGGAATGTGGAAAGAAGCTAGTGGGTGCAGGCCAAGAGGCAGTATGGGGAAGCAATCGGCAGCGACACTTCCGGCGGCTCGAGTCTCAGCTCCAATCATTTATCATCCATGTGACCTTGGACAAGTCACTTCACGTCTCCATGCCTCAGTTTCTCCACCTATTGCTCTCGACTCATCAGAGTCCTTATTCACAGGGTTGTGAAAGTTAACTACGTTCACAAATGTAAAGGCCTTACTTACCGCAGCACCTGAAACATAGTAAACAGCCAGTAAAACGTTAGCTGTTATTACTATCAATAATGATGGACCTGACCATGGACTGCCTTCATCCTGGGACCAAGGAACATAAGAGATGTAGACACAAATGATCAGTCGGGTGGCCCAAGGGGTCCAGTGTGGGCACCAGGACACGGTGGGCTGCCTGCCAACCCCGCAATGGGCACAGATGTTTTCTGGACACAAGAAAACGAACGGCTCTGGTATGTGTCAAGTGTTAGTGCTGCCTGGAAGGGACATCACCTCTCCCCTCCATGACAGAGCGTGTCACCTCCTCCAGCCAGCACCACGTCTACAATGGTTTCTAGTCTCACCTCGTCTCACCCAAACTCTCCCGATTCTTTGCAGCCATTCCCTTCAGGTCCCACCACACTTTCCCTGACCATGTGAGCCCTCAGCGCCCACACACTTTCCTTAACTCCGCTCCCTCCTGCTGCCTAAACCGAACACATCCACGCTCCACACAGAGCCTCAGACAACAGCACTCAGATACATAACCCTCTCCAGCCAATTAACAGAAAAATGGCTCCTAGAAGACAGGGGTCCCGGGGCCTCCTGGCTGGCCACCTGGGTCTTTCATCCTGCAGCTTGGGCACGAGGACCAAGTCTCACAGCTGTGGCGCTTACCAGTTACCAACCTGTCACCGTCCCCACTCCCCATCACCCTTGTTTAGGATGGGTTTCAGGGATGAAAAATCATACAAGATCCGAACGGAGAACTTAGCCAACGATTCACTGTGGAAGTGACAGAGGGCACCTTTGACATTATTCTCTACACTTCCATACCATTGCCTTTAAAAAAAAAAAAAAAAAAGACTACAGATTTGTATTATTTGCATAATGAACACTGAAAATTTAAAAAATGGGCAGGGTTTTCTTGATTTTGTGGCTTGGAAAATGTGTCACTCCTACTGTCTAGAGGTACAACTCTGGGGTCAGGTTACTTCGATCCCTTTTACAAATCCCAGGGCAAAGGGTGACCGTGCAGGCAGCTAGACGGTACAACCTGGCAAAACAGAGAGACCTTCTGCTGTGCCAAGTAACTGCTGGGGCATGGGGGTGGGGAGGATGGTGGTATACAGTTTCCATGGTGACATCCTAGCGCTCCATTTGACTTTATACCCCTACCCGTCTTTACTTTGGACTTCTTAACCCCACACCAAAGTTGAATGGCTAAAATCAGGAAGTAAGAAACTTGACTTCTTCTAAAAAGAGAAGTTACCAAGAAGCTGCTTTTCCCTCAACCTCTTCCCGCCAGCCTGCCACTACCAGGATCTCCTTCCTTGTCACCCTACCCCAACCACCCCGGAGGTGCTGGGAAGACCACAGCCTGAGGTCTGGTAAAAGGCCTGCCCCCTACACATATACCAAGCACTTCCTCAATGGCCCCAGGACTGAGCACGGCGTGGCTGATGTTCCATACACTGGGACGCACATGGGCTGATGCTCCTCATGGACAGAGAGGAACTGGGACATGACAAGACAGGGCAGCAAAAAAGGGCCATGGCAACTATGCTCTGATCCAGCTCCCTGCCCCAAGGCAGCCTTCGTTCATACGCTCTCTGGCTTCACTGTCATTTTAACCTCCCAGTATTAAAGAGAAGTACGATGTTCAAAATCACCCTATACACCAAAGCCATACAGAACACTGATGAATGGATATGGAATAAGAAAGCAAAAACTACGACTAAAAAGAGAGAGAAACTTCAAGTGTTTAGAGCAACTTACAGGTAACAGACTAAGACTTGGAAAATGAATTAAAAAGAAACTTCTCTATCCTCTTTCCCTGATACCCATGGTCTTGGGGTCATACGCAAATAAGTGTTTCACAAGAAGGTCAAGTATTAAATCATTTTTGTGATTTTTTCCCACAAAGATGCCAAAAGCCAATGGGAATTTTAAACGATTTTGCAGGCTTGTCCACACAATCTAAGGATGCTTTTTTTCTGGGCCCAAGAATGAAGACCATGCCAAGGAATTCTGAGCGGACACCCGGATGAAGATTACTGGTCTACTGCTAACCCTCTTCGATTCCCGTTAGCAGCCTCGATGCTCTGAAGTGAACACTTACGGAATCAACACAGGTGCGGGCCCTTCTCTTGCCACGGCCCTGCTGCCTCTGGCAGTGGGCCCACAGGCAATTCTGGCATTTCATGCTGTTTTCTATAAGCCCAGCAGCGGCGTACTTCCCAGAAAAGATATGTGTTACAACCAAACAGAGTTTCTGAAGAAGATTTTTTTTCCTTCCTCGTTGCTTTTTTTGGATTGTGTACAACCTGGCCTTCTAAAGGATGTGACAGATTTTATTTGAAGTATAGATGACAGTACTCTGAAATTCTTAAGTTGACATCAAGTAAGGCAAAAACCCATTAAAGAAAATCTTGGACAATCCAATTACCTGGGTAAGAATGTAACTCCTCTGGGCTTCTTCCATCTTTATCAAACTAGCATTGATGTAATCATTCTCTTCTTGATGCAGTTTAATCCGACTATGGTCAACTGAAAGGCAAGCCAGAACTCAGATGTTAGTCCTGGATGACCAAAGTGTCCACACAGGCAGTGCACCCCATGGGGAAAGCAAAAAAGGTGAGTCGGTGGCATTAAGGGCGTTCACACTGGCTGAGGCCATGTTGTTTTAACTGAGATTAGTCATCAATATGAGGAGGACTTAGTATTTTCAGAAAGGTTTCTGGAAGTGTTTGAAACTTAATGCTAAATAGCAACAGAGACAAACTACACTAAAACATGGGTTCTGTTCTAATTGGACAATCTATTCTGAGGTCTTATCTTCCTACACTTATCACTGCCCCACAACTCAGGAGGCTGTGAGGAGGGGGTGCCAAGGGATCTGTTCTTGGATGCCTAATATATACTTTCATAAGGTAAAAAAATACAGTGGATTCAATCTTTAAAAGGGAAAAAAATCCACCAAAAATTTCACCCAGTCCCTAGAGCTCTAGTTGGTACAATGAGCCACAGTAGGTGGGATTTATGATCATATCTCATATGGTTTGAAGATGAAATGACGTAAATATATAGTGGTGTGGGAAGGGTTGCCTTGAATTCCTTTATATAAAGTTTTTTTCTTTTTTTTTTTAAGTTTCGAGTGTAATGCACTTAAATGATTCTACTCTACGAACAGAATTCAATTAGAATTGAATTCTAATATTTCAAATTCAGGAACTGTCATGATCAAAGACATTTAAAAGATAATTAACCGGAAAAAATAAACTCTGAATCCAAAACACCGAAAGTACATTAAATCTAACTTTCAGAATAGTTTTTAAAAATAAACTCTCATTTGGAAGGTCTGCCCCAGGTTACTGAAAGTGCATAGCCACTTTTTTTCCCTTTTACCACGACTTGGTCACAAAAGCAGTGGTTCCCTGAGGGCCACTTTCCTTATCCTGCTAGTGTAGCTAATAAGAGGAGGTAGGTATTTTTATTTCTGGTACAACACAAGGGATGATGAACTTGGGTGACCACTCGTGAATACTATCTTCTCTCTCCTAGCCCAATGGGAAAGGAGAGGTAATGGGGACACACGGTTTGGGGCTTTTTGTTCTAAAAGATTTCAAGGAAATGTTTTTAAAAATTAGTCACCATTTGGAATAATGTTTCTCATCACAGAGGATTAATACAAATTGAAATACTTGGGTAATATTTAAGTCATGGAGATAGATCTCAAAACAGATAACGAGACCACATAACCCTTTGGTGGGTTATATGAATGGGTTCAAACAGTAACTGGGTGACCTTGGCCAAACAACTCCTCCTCTGAGCGCTGGGCTTTTTCATTGGCCAAATGGAAGACCGACAAAAGATCGCTTTCTACCTTGAATCATTCTCCCCGTGTCCCCCATGACCTTAAGAGCCAATTATCTGTCCTGCTGGACAGTGGAGTTGGGGAAAACGAGAGAAACAGGAGTGAGAATGGGGTGAAAAGGTCTGGGAGTTGTTTCCTGCGAAGAATATTTTAATGATCTTCCCCCGCTCTGTAAAACTGGCTCATAAAACCACTTAGATGAGCACAGATGAGAAATGTAGAAAAATATTAAGAGGACATCACTGTCTACTGCAGAGTAAGGACGGCAAGCGGCTCTCTTGGCTCCGCATGAACGATGCCAACAGTGATTTTTCTTTGATGTTCAGAGCTGCTGGTTGGGACTCGACAACAGAAATCACCGGAGGGGAGCTTTTTTTTTTTTTTTTTTTAACAAAACCTGCTAGGTGCTACAGCCTAGACGTGCTGAATCAAGAGTGTCGGGTGTCGGGGCACAATCATGTGCCGCTTGATGACCTAGCACTACACTTCAAATGTGCCTGGTGTGCGCCTTCAAGTAACAACCATCCCAACCACTGGGCTAAGTGGCCTGTGTTATTTTATTGCACCTTCACGCCATCCTGAGATCTGCGTGGCTCCTGCTTTACTGAAGATGAGAGAACAGATCCATCAGCTGTAAGCAGCAGGCTGGTACACAGCCAGGTGGGGAACCACGGCAGCACTCAGAGGCAGACTGCGCGGGACCAACCTAGGTCCATTCCGCGCCCCTCCCAGGAACCTGGTGCTGCACAGCTCAGGGCAGGAGGCACTGCCGGCTCTTCCACTGAGAGCGCGGGGGGCCGTGTGACCTAGCAGGCCTGTGGGAGGCGCCTGTGGGACGGAGGACTACTGCGTCCCTGGCAGACGGAAGAGACTGCCACGGGGAGACGGGCGGCCACAACCCTCTCCGACGGGCAGGGTCTAAAATCCCTGGAGGTGAGTCAGAAAGTTCTCTGTGGCCTACAGGAGATGGCCAAGTCCGTGCTCTCTACTCAGCTCCAGTTTTTCTTGCTTTACACCAATTCCAACACCGTTAGTTCTCGACTATCAGCAGATTCAGAGCCAGTCACTCAGAAGGCAGAGACGGCTGTCAGAGGCCAGCAGGCAAGCTGAGAGAAAATGGCAAGAGAGAGCGAGAAGAATGAGGACGGCAGTGGGGGGACAGGGTGCATGCGGGTAGGACTCACAGGCAGAGCAGTCTTCAGCAGGCGGGAGCGCCACCTCCCTTCCTTAGTGCCTGTGCTGGGCACCACCACAGTTCAGTACAATGCTCGGGGGCTAATACTACCGTTGCTGAGTCATCCAGAAAAGGTTATATTATGCCTACTATACTCTGCTTCGGCTGGGAGGAAAATGATTCATCATAAAAACAGTCAAAGCTCAAAAAAGTGCTTTGAACTTAGCTGAATTTTCCAGAAACTGAAATCTTATTCCTTCTACAATCGTGGAAAAAACAAACCATTACTCTAAGTCTCTGATGCCTGGATTACAGCAAACAGCCAAGTCATAAAGCGGTACTGCCATGGCTTGATTACAAAAGCCCGGGGCACCAGGGTCCCGCCGGAGAGGCCCTGCCGCTGAGGGGGCGCCGCCGCGCGCGCACCCAGTGAGAGCAGTGAGACTGGTAATGGCGATGTGAATACTTACAGGGACTGACATCTCTGTACCTGTTTCGGTTTTTGTTCTTAGGAAGCTTGGCCACTCTACATGGGAAGTCACTGGCTTCGTGTCGGATATCCTATAAAAAAAAAAAAAAGGATAGAGTTCTCTTTTGAAATCCCTGGCATCAGGAAGCCATGCAGACGTTTAACCAAGCGTGGGCTATGTGCCAGGCACAGAGAGGGCCCGGGACAGAAACACACGTCCAGGAGAACTAGGCAGTGTGGGGAGCGCAAGGTGATCATTCAGAGGCACGTACAGAGGCACATACAAGGTCCTGAAGGGAAAACAGAGAGAGGACAGCTACACCTGCAATGGGAGGATGGCGTGGGGCCGGGAGCTGGAAATACGGGGAAGAGGGCAGCGAGACCGAAAGGGCTGGCGGGGCCCTTGGCTCGGGGACACCCAGCACAGCACCGGCGAGCGCACACGTCTTCTGCAAGCGGCAGTGAGTGGGCTGGCGGGGGCAGTGACAGACGGCTGGAGCACACAGGTGGGCCAGCCAGACCGTGGAGAGCCTGGAACACCACAAGCCCGGGAGCTCCATCTGTAACCTTGTATAAAGCCACAGTTATTGAGAGCAGATAAAATGCACTTTTGTGCCAACAACTGTTCAGCTGCTTTCCGAGGAGATGGTCGACAAATCCCATTACACCAAACTGTCAGAAAGAGGAAGTGCCTGGGTTAACAGAAGACCCAAATCATGCCTCCTGCTAGACTGATCACAGGCATCTACTTTTGCTCTTCTAAAACACCACGATAATCCCATTTAAAAATCTTTTCTTTTTAATTTGTATTTTATTCTTATTAAAAGATAAACCCATATGACAATGTGAGTATACTGAGTGCCACACTAAGGTATACACCTAAAATGGTTACAGTGGTAAATTTTATTATGTGTATTTTATTACAATTAAAAAAAAAAGACAAACTCACAGGAGAGGGCAGAACAGGAGAAGGTAGCAGCAACAGAATTTTGGAAGCTGGCAATCTTATTAGTAGTTGGCAGGTCTGAGAAAGCTCAATTACAAGCCAGCAGTGGAGAAAGCAAAGCACCAGTCCATTTCCACCACAGAATCCTGCAGTAACTCAGGAAATGCTGCTTCTGGATGGAAGGGTGGGATTCACTGCAGGGGACGGGGCTGGAGCTGTCTGAGAAGCAGTGGATCTCCCCACCGCCCCCCTTCCATGCTGCTGGGTGCTGCTGGGTGACTGTCACCCTGTACCACAGAACTCTGGAGAATCATTTTCTGCAGAATATAAATCAGGAGACAGTGCTTTCTATGCGATCTGAGCAGACAAGAGCAAAGACCAGAAGATACTATCACCAGGGCTCAAAACCAGTAGCCCAGCTAAAGGGCTCATGGCCAGATCAGTGCTGATGAGACCCTTCCACCCTCTCAGAGCTCTCAATCTGCCTTGTGAGCTTCATCACACACAGACAACCACTGATTCTAAGATGTGAGAAGAATGCCTCTAGTATAAAAGAAATTTACAAGAAAAATGAAACAGGAAAAAAGTCCCTTGGAAGAAATAAACTACACAGAAGAGAAAACTTAAAAAATATACTATTAATATACTCAATGAGATAAAAAAAAAAAAATTCTATCTATGAATTAAGAACAAAATGTTAGGTAAAGGTAGAAGAAATCCTCCCAGAAAGTAAAGTACCCCCTATCCCCAAAAACCCACAACAGAAAATCAGGCAAAACAAAATACAAGGAAAGAAAACATTAAAAAAACAAAAATAGTTCAAGGAAATCTTCCAGACCCTCAAATGCTCAAATGATAAAAACAGACCTACATTAAGGCACATTAATATGTGATTCCAGAATCTTTCAAAGAAAATATTCTGGGGGCACCTGGATGGCTCAGTCGGTTGAGCATCAGACTCTTGGTTTTGACTCAGGGCATGATCTCAGGGTAGTGAGATCAAGCCCTGCGTTGGGCTCCGTGCTCAGCAGGGAGTGTGCTGGAGATTCTCTCTCTGCCCCCTCCCCATCACACACGCACATGCACTCTTTCTAAAATGAATAAATAAATCTTTCTAAAAAAAAAAAAGAAAATATTCTGTAAGTTTTTAGAAAGAAAAAATAGTTCACGTTCAAAGGATAAAGTCATCAGAATGGCTTCAGACTTTTCGAGAACACTGAAAGCTAGACCGCAATGGAGCAATGTTTTTAGAATCTGAAGCAAAAGGATCTCTAGCCTAGAATTCTATACCCAGCCCAATTATCACCAAGTGAGAAGGGGCAGTAAGTTAACTAAATTAACACTGCAGAGAGGCAAAGCCTCAAACACTTGACCACACCCATGCTCCCATCCTCAGCAATCCACTGGAGCATATCTTCCATCTGAGGGAAGAAATAAACCAAGAAAGAGAAAAATATAAGATATAGTAAGGTAAAAAAAAAAAAAAAAAAAACCTGACACAAGAGCAAAGACAAAGGAACTTCCCCTGAAACTGTGGAGGAAAGAGCTCCCAGGATGACAAGTATGTACCAGACCTGGAAGCAAGAGGGCCAGACTGGAGCAGTAGGGCTCAAGAGATGGATGTATCAGTGACATGCCTTTGTGCACCATACCGACCATGACTGAACGAAACCACCAGAGGGAGATAAGGAAAAGACCTGAAATCCAAGAAATAGGGAATCCAGTCAAGAAAAACAGGAAGTTTCAGGATGATAGCTATGTTTGTCAGGCCTATAAACCAAGCAACCCAGACAGAAGGAGAATGGAGGTCTCCAGAACGAAAACTGAAACAAAGAAATTACCTGAAATTGCTCTAATACTCCAGCCACGACCCACATGTGGCTCCTGAGGGCACAGGTGGCCAGTCTGAAAAGAGGTGCTGTGTAAGTGTAGAAATGCATATCAGGTTGTGACAACAGTACTAAAAAACAAAAGTAAAATATCTCAAATATTTTCAGTAGCATTTGTTGAAATAACATTTTGAACATATTGGGCTAAATAAACTACTATTAATCTCATCTGCTTCTTTTTACCCTTTTCCCTGTGGCCACTAGGAAAGGTGAAATCATACAGGCAGGGTGCACTGCATTCCTCCCGGCCAGTGCTGACTGACCTTCTGGAAAACTGCCCAAGAGGTTCCAAGAGGTATGGGAAGAATTAGCAACAGGCAGAAAGAAGCCTTTGCAGATGAAAGTATACAAGGCAATTATTAACTATGGGAAAACTTTAGAAAGGAAACTAGGGTACGACATCATCTGACTATGTGCATACACAAACAATGTAAATGATGGATGTTGTTTTAACCGAAAGGTATAACAGATTGGGAGAACGGAAGGGGAAGCTAAGGGGAGGAAAAGCAACAAGGATGCCTGTTCAAGGAAATGAAATCCTCCACCTGTGTAAAGGTCTAAGTTAATGAATTAGAAAATAAACATTCTCCTTAGAAATATGGAGATCTATGCAAGTGAGAATCAGCAGCTCAAAGAATTGAAAATGGCCGTGAGCCAAGAGGCTGTGGCAATGGGCTGAGGTATGGACAGCACAGCACCGGCTTGTATCTTCAGCCCATCGTGGTCCTCCTTCACTGCTCAAACCACGTGCAGATTCGACAGGAAGTTTTAAAAATTGCCACATTCTGCTAATTCTACTTACTTTAAAAAACTGCAAAATGGCAGGGAGGCCTTTTTGACTCACACTAGGGGTGGGCTAATAACTTAAAAGCATGTTTATAGATGATAAACCTATCTGAGATAAGCAAAATAATCCAGCATAACACACTCATCACGTCATCTGTGGAAGAGAGTAAGCTTTCAGGGAAATGCTATATAACACAGAAAAATCACTTGAAGGAATAAAAATCTAAGTCTTAAATCTGTTGTTCTATTTGACTGGAAGCACTTAGCAACAAGTACGACTTCTGCCTTAGGAGGGGAAACAATCTGGTCAGTCCAGCTGGTGTGACTGAAGAGAAGGAAGAGATCATCGATATGGTTAAACCACTGAACCAACAAATATTCGCTCTGAGGAAAGAAGGGCCAAAGGATCAGTAACTGTGGGCAATTGATTTTATTCAGCCAAAGGATTATATTAATATGTACTTTTTGCCACCCCCCCCCAAAAGACAGAAAGGTAAAGAAAGTAAAACTTGGAGATGTCATTTACTAAAGATATTTAGAAAATAAGAGGTATTCACATAATACTTTTTAAAAATTGATTTTAAAATTAAGGTAAACTCACAGAGTAAAATGCACTGATCTTACATGCAATAAGCTTTCCTAACCAACTTTAACCTACAAATATTTAAATATACCCATTTAAGTGTTTCTCTATGTTACACTGGGCTTGACGTGGGGTTTGATCTCATGACCCTGAGATCTTGACCCCAGAAGAAATCAAGAGTTGGATGCCTAACGACTGAGCCACCCAGGTGCCCCTATCCTGCCCCCACTCATTTAACGAGGTAACAGGTAATCTCCCAGTGAATACTGAATACAAAGGGCTTACATACTTACAAAGCTCTGATAAAAGAATGAATTAGGGCCCAGGGTGAATTTCATTTCTGTACACATTCAGGAAAGCTCATTATCCATTATTCAAATACCTCCCAAATCCAATTAGGCCAAGTAAAACTTGGATGAAAAGCTGACCATTTTTTGAGATGTCTTTTTTTTTTTTTTTTTTTAGAACACGCACAGGCATAAAAGCCAGTCCAGCCTTGCAGAAATATTTTCATGTTTATAGCAAGCACATCATTAAGTTAAGCATAGCAATTTTGGTTTTAACAGCCTTTTCTCTTCAGTCCCACAATGGGGTCAATGTCCCTTATTGGCTCCGTGGTAAATTGCATTAGTCATTTAAACTGTTCCACACATGACGAGGTAGCTAGCATGGCACCTGTCACAGCTGCGAGTCTGACAGAAGTGCCTGGGTTCTCGCCTCTCCATCCCTCCTAGCATAGGCCCAGGCCCAGGCCCAGAGGAGGACACAGCCAGATTCTGTTGACGAATTCACAAATGGTCCCAAAGGCTCCCCCAAAACCCAGAGTCTTTACCTCTATACCAAATGCTTTATTTCGGGGGATAGAAATGCTCCTGAAAGGGAGGGAGT